CACAAAACGCGTTACGTTTTTCTGATTCTGATAGCAATTGACTATGAACATATTTAAGTATATTTTGGCGAATTTTTATCAGCACTCTCAAAAACGTGAGATAATTTTTGGGATCGCTTGAGACTTATTTTTCTAATTATGTCAATTGCCTGTGGCATCCTTTGTCCTATTCTCACAATTTATGCTAAAAAATAAACAAAAATGTTTGAATATTAGAATGAACACCCTTAAAAAATATGTTTTTGGACTCCGCTTTTTAGCCCTAGCTAAATGACAACTTTCCCCGTCGGAAATAAATTAGAAAATCCCTCAATATTTTATTTGACGCTTATGGACTATTCTGAAAGAGAATTTGTTGAGCGCTTTGTTAAATATGGGTGTCTTTTTGCATAAATCTTTGAGACTGTCAATGAGCACTGGAATTGGCAAAGGGACCCTATAAATTTGAACGTTTTGTCAACAAAGATCTCTTAAAGATGATGATGCCTATAATGGATGGGATATTTAAATCTAATGAAGTCATTGGCAATGACAATGCAAATGTGCGAAGTGTTGACACAAAGACTATCCTCGACTCTCCTCAGATTCTACTTAGGGGGAAGTAAGGGGACATCGCTGACCAACTGAGTGAGTGACCAACCCTATTAAGGACACGCGTCCGAGTCATTAAATCATTTAACGCTGGTCAAGCCAATGAAACCAGTTACTCGACTTATGCTTATCGAAAGAGAAGGAGAAGTAAGGAGGGTCAGTGATGGGTGGCTGATGGTCAGTAGTGAAGTCTGCTATACACACGACTATTTGGAGACTGAAATCATCCGATAAGCAATCGCCATTTTGTTTGCTGATCGTATTTGTATTGGTATTTTACCCTTTGGTTTAAGTTTGTGACCCAGCGGAATTCTTGAGAAATGTCCGTTAATGTGAGAACATGTTTGGGTTCAACAAAATGGCTGACCTCCAGGACAAGCAGCTCGAGAAGGCCAAGCAGAACAATGTGGAATATGTTGTGTTAGACTTATTCGAAACAGGATACCCCAATTGTGGACCAAATAGAAAATTTTAAATGCACGACCGCAAGCTAACCCTTTGAGCAGCCATTGTCCTGTTGTCCTGCGAAAGCAACAACTCATGCCCAACAACCGCCACCCCAAGGACTATGGTAAAAGCAACTGTCAGTATACATCCTTTTATCATCGTATCCGTGATGCTGCCGCTGGTTTCAAATATATTCATATTGACCAGATCCTGCAATGGACCGCCATATGTCATGTTCCTACAAAGGGTTCGTCTTTTTTTTTTTGCAGGAAATTTTCTTCGCGGTCTTTTCCAAAAATTAATGCCAGTGTCCAAACCGGTTTATCGTTTTTTTTTTTATTCAAGGTCCGGTTTTTAGGCAAGGAAGTCGTCCTTTCCGGATCCCTTCAACCCTTTTGTTGTGTGGCTGCGCAAAAGCGAATAAAATTGCAGCATTCGCTTTTTTGTGTTGCCCAAAAGGCCAGGGATTAGATGGGAGATCTTTTTCTCAAGTTTTAGTAAGGGTAGATATTAAAATAGCCGTTATAAATTACAGTTGTGCAACAGAATCTGAGCCCATCATCAGTCAAAATTCTTGACCATCTCAATTTGTCCACGCGCACACAGGATGACCTCTACTAAATGACCACTTAACTCCTTTCGGCCAAACCTGTTTGACTGCCTGACCAATAAGGACGAGTAACGCGTGCTCTTTAAATACATAAAGGATAAACACACGCGCTGACCAATGGTCAGGCAGAAGTTACCTGGCGCATCCCTCCAATGCTCAGGCCACTCCTTGAAGATAATCTGCGACGCGTGTCCTGCTATTATAATAGAGATCTCATTAGCCGTGGCAATCTTCATGGGCATGCAAAGGATCAAGGGTCAACATAGTTGACCAAGCAAAATTCAAATGCAAAAATTTGCCATAAATGCCAAACGAATATATATTGAAATATCATCCTGGCTTCGGTCTCAAGCTGTGCATTTTCCATTCATACGTTTTTCGGGGGTAAAAGTTGATATTTAGTTGAGGCAATAAATCTGCGGCCAAACGCATCCCAAAACAAAGGATCTTAAAAAGGAAGAAATAGACAAAATATCTTTGCATTTTCTATAGAGAATCGAGGTCCTAAGGGTGTCCCAAATCGACCCTCTGCTTGAATATTCAAACTGTTTTTGTTTACACTCTCGGCATAAATTGTGAGAAAGGACAAAGGATGCCACAGGCAATTGACGTAATTAGGAAGATAAGTTTTAAATGTCTCTAACGATTTTTTCTCACGCTGATGACACTGCCGATAAAAACTTAAACATTTTCTTTTCTTTATTTTCAAAATGCTCTACTAGCTATCTAAATTTACGATTACCATGTCAACTTTCAAATCAATTAAACTCCCATCAACTTATAAAACGAAATGCTTTGTGTGGGCTTTCAAAATATATGATGTGAATTTGCTTTTTATAATTAAAACATGTCCCACAATTTGCCAGCCAAAGAATCGAATGGTAATCTCGAATATCAACTTTCAGGAATTAGAGCTCAAACATATTTGAGGAGCCTCAAATAATGCTTGTCGCGTCATGAGCAAAGCGATTGTTATCCGTAACATAACACAACCATTGACTTTCCATAACTTAAAAAGAAAAGCAATCAATGCTCACATTCGCTGACAAAAGCCAACGCACAAAAGTTTTTCATTTCGAAAAATGAGTAACTGAATATAAATCTCCCATATGCAAATTTATACGCGACTAAAGTAAAAATAAATTCACAAAGTCGGAAACAAAAATAAAACATGTCCGGGTACTGTTCTAGTTATACTTTACAGGAATTGGTTCTATTCTAGGTTTTTGTGCTTTTGTGCGTATTTTCATGCAAATTTCCATTAGTTGCTCAGTTGCCATTTTGCCGGAAAACCTTTTTTGTAATCAATAGCTGGGTAGGCTTGCTATGACGATCCTAAATGTTAATGCCGTTCTCTTATCCATGTCACTCAATTATGGCAACAATTGGTAAATCTGTTTCAATCTCAAAATTGCCAACCAAGTGACAAACCAACAGACCAGAGTAGAGCAGAGCAGACCATTCTCAATAGCACTTTCTACGAAATCAATCGATGGCTACAATTCGCCCCTCGCGAATCGATTTGCTTGTCAGGGGATTTCCTTTCCCTGCATTTCCTCAACTGATTTGCATAAATTTTCACATGGCGCGCGTCGCAGGAACCCTCCTCCGACACAGGTCGATTAGCATAACACTGGCAGGTATTAATGCTGCCTGGAATTGATCCTGATCCTAGCGCTGATGCTGTCTCGCTCTCGTTCGCATGCTCACCCGCTCGCGCTTGTGCCAATATTATGTAAATATTTTTTTTTTTTTTGCGCTTACCAATATTTGGCAACAATAATTTATGCAAATTACACTGGCAGGGATTTTGTGCGCCTGCGCAACGGATGTTACATGTCGCGACCGTTTTTTAAAACATTTTTTTAAGGGTTTGCAGTTGTTTTGCATTTTTGCAACGTTTTTTCAATATGCAAATTTTTTTTGTTGCCTAGGCATACGAAATTTTTGGCATTTTCAATTGAATATTTTTGCGCGATTGTAATGTAGATTTTATTGTTTGATTGTAATTTTAATTTTGTGCGCCAAAAAGTAGGTTATTTTTTTGCATTTGAATGGATTCGATTTTTACTGAAATCGCAGCTGGCACTGCTGTTGAATAAGTTCTTCGAGATCGGCTCGAGTTCGGCGAATAATTTGCAAAAGGTTTTCTTAGGTTTGCCAAGATGCGGGTTCTACATTTTGTGCCACTTTTGTATTTATGGAAATGTGATTTGGCGTTTTAATTAGTTTTAGCCTTTCCCGAGTGTGAGAAAATACTAAAATATAAAACGGCCGTTTTGCAGTTTCCAGAAACATCTGATACCATATTATTTATTTTATTATTATTAAGCATAACGATATTATCTAGAGTCAACAATAGAAGCAGCCTAAGTTCTTAAAGAATTAAGTTCGAATGTTTCCTGCTAAATTTCTTAACAGTAGAAATATTTCAGTCAACAAGCCCCAAAGTATTGAGTTTTTTTGTAATGTAAATACTAAAGTAAGTCAACTGAAAGTTCTATTTAGATTTTGATAAAATTTATAATCATTAGAAATGTTTTAAGAAGTTTAAAAAAGCGTTACTCTCTTTACTATTTTTGCAGTGAATATAGGGATTTTTATTTGCTTAATTGTAGTATTGATTTTCCTGTTTAAATATACTTTATAAATACATTGTTATATTTATTTCCTTAAATTTAATTTAGTGTGAATATTATATTTATATGTACTGAAAATTTCATCTTTTCTCCTGAGACTTTCATTGAATTCATTTACATTTCTCTCTCTTTGCTCGCAATGCACAGGGGAAATTCCTGAACAGTCGTTGGTGCTCGCAATGACATTTTTTCTGCCCAAAACTCTATTTTCTGCTCAAATTTACATGGACGCTGGCATTTTATTGGTTGGCATCAAAAAACTGGGCAAAAAACGGTCACAAACTCACAACAAGTTTTCCGCACATTTTCCACAAAACAGGACTCTAAATATAAATCAGGGGTTGTGCACCCTTAACAACCACCACCAAATGGTGTTCGCATCTCCGTTTTTTAAGAGAGACCGAGATGCGAGAGAGCGAATTGCAGATCAGTTTTTTAAGAGCGTTTCATGTTCATATTTTTTATGGAGAGGGTTGCTGCTGGGACCTTTGCGCAATTTCTGCTATATTAGCTGGTCTTAGCGGAAGAGTTGAAACAGTTTGAGCTACGCAGCCGAACTTCGAGGATCGCCATAAAGAATCTGAGGTCGTGATCTGTATCGAGCGTGTGATGTGAAAATTGTGAAAAATCTTGTGAACCAAGAATCATTTTTGAATTTTCGAAAATTTTGAATTTGTGCTGTATTATCAAAATATTTAAAAAGTGATCGCAAAATGTCCAATCAAATGGAATTTATAATGCAACTTTATATGATGAGCCTGCTGCAGCAGCAACAACAACAGCAGCAACTTCAGCAACAGCAACAACAATTTCAACAACATCCACTACAACAGCAACAACAACAGTTGTTGGGATTTGCCTATACACCCAATGAGGATATCAGCAGCAGCAGCACTTGCCTGCAACAACAAGAACAACAACAACAACAACAACACAAGACAAGAACGCACAAGCAAACAAATTCGCAAAATACGAACTGTAGTAGTAGCCGTAGTTGTAGTCCCAATAGTAATTTGAACACTTTATCAACACAACAACAATATGAACAAAATGCTACAACACTAATAACACCCATAACACCAACAACACCTAACAATACAAACTTTGCCTATCAGTTGCCACAAATGTTGCTGACGCAGTACATAATGCAACAGCAGCAGCAACATTTGCTGGCAACTTCAACTTCAAATCTGCTTCTAACTCCTAATACACCCAGCTCCACACAACAATCACTATTGGAGCCATTTCCCTCCTCCTTGCAAAGTGAGCAATTTACTACAAACAATTTTTTGCAATCCTCCACAGTGACATCAACGCCAAACGAGCAAGCAGCAGCAGTAGCAGCAGCAACAGTACCAACAACAGCAGCAGCAACCGTTTCGGCAGTCACAGTCCAAGATGAGCAGGATTTCAATGATGAGGACGAGAAGCCGCTGTCCACTTTAAACAGCTGCAGCTCGTCCAATAATCACAACAATATGATGATGCTGCAGTCGGGCGCACAATCGCTGGAGAGTACGAGCAACAGCGATATCAACGACTCGCCCAGCATGGTAAGCAATCTATTCACGATGATTAAAAAGAATCACATATTAAAAGGTTTTTTTCGGATCTATTATATGAACTACTTCCACTACAACATCAATTACTACTACTGTTACTCCAAAAATTATTATTAGTAATTTTATTATTGACACTTCTTCTAAAAACTACTCGAAAAACTTATACTACCATTAATAGTGCTCTTAATCGTACTACAACTACTATTACTATTGTTCCTAATGGTACTTCTACTACTATACTACTGCTCCCAACAGTGGTACTACTACTATTACAGTTGCTACTAATACTACTACTACTACTACTGTTACTACTAATACTAATAGTACTTCTGCTACTAATACTACTACTACTGTTACTACTGCTGTTAATAGTACTGTTGCTACTATTATTACTACTACTACTGTTACTACTGCTGCTAATAGTGCTGCTGCTACTACTATTACTACTACTACTGTTACCACTGCTACTAATAGTGCTGCTGCTAATACTATTAATACTACTGCTACTTCCATTAGTACCATTACTACTTCTACTACTCATACTCCTACATTAACTAATATTACTACATCATACCTACTACTATCATTTTATTAAATTATTTTTCCTACTACTACTGCTATTATTTCGCAGTTTCCTTCATAGTTAAATAAACGAAATAATATCTTTTATATTAAAATTTTTTTTTTTTTTAAATCCCCATTATGGATTCTAATTTTTTTTTTTTTTCAAGCTGTATTGGTTCAATGTACTTTTTCTGTTTGTTCTAAACTCCCACGCTGAGTGTAATTCGAGAGCAGCTCTGTAAATAGGAAAGCTCTTCATTCGTGCGCTTTGCTCGAAAAAGTAAAACACAGAACGAAATATTGTCGCAAATTTGCTTGCTTAATGTAAACAAGAACATCATGATTCCAAGGAAAATAAAGCAGCTGCGGGTCTCTCTCTATATATATATATAAATATATTTTTTTACTCTATCCGGAGCCATTGGCACCAAGCAGTCTAGTTCTCGAAAAACATATATTACTTAATATTTGATGTTCATTATTTTATCATTGCAGTATACGCCCGTCAAACAGCCAGCGGATTCGTCATATAATGTCGTCACCTCCATCGATAATGAGGCAACAGTATTTAACACTCCCCGGGGAGCACTGAGCAGCAATTCGCTGTTGACACCACCGTCGTCCAGTGATCAGGGCAAAGCCAGCATTGTCAGCCTGACAACGGCCAGTAGTCTGGATGCCTTTCTGCAGAACGAGGAGAATCTGAAGAATCTGCGTAAGGTCTCCTCGTATCTGGAGTGTGAGAATACGCTCTGTCGCCAGGAGACGTTACGTGAACATTTCCATTGCTATGATGAGCCCTGTCAGGGCAAGATACTTAGCAAAAAGGATGACATTATCCGCCACCTTAAGTGGCACAAGAAGCGCAAGGAGAGCCTCAAATTGGCCTTTGCTCGCTTCTCGTCCTCGGATGATTGTGCGCCCGAATACGGTGAGGGTTGTGTCTACAACTGGAAGCAGACGCACTATCATTGTGTCTATGAGCACTGTCCCAAGGTCTATGTGAGCACCAGTGATGTCCAGATGCATGCCAACTTCCATCGCAAGGACTCGGAGATTGTGAATGAGGGCTTCCGGCGTTTTCGCGCCCATGAAAACTGTCGCATCGAGGATTGCCCCTTCTATGGCAAGAAGATATCTCACTATCATTGCTGTCGCGAGGGTTGCAATCACACTTTCAAGAACAAAGCAGATATGGGTGAGTGATGCTTCATCTATATAAATATATCACATTCAATTTGGATAATTTGGTTAATGCTGATAACGCTTCTTGCAGACAAACACAAGACGTATCACCTGAAGGACTATCAGTTGACGCAGGACGGCTTCAAGAAGATCCTCAAAACGGAGCAATGCCCCTTTGAGTCCTGCAAGTTCTCCACGGTGTGCAATCACATCCACTGCGTCCGCGAGAATTGCAATTATATTCTGCACTCGAGCAGTCAAATGATTAGCCATAAACGGAAACACGATCGACAGGATGGTGAACAAGCATACCAGCAGTTCAAGGGCAAACAGGAGGACATGGAGGATGCTGCTTCACTGGATGCAACACCTCAACCAATTAGCAGCAACACCACCAGCTCCAACTCCACATCCACATCCAGCACACCACTCTCCTCGCTATCAGCCGAGCATTTCCTTGCCCGCAAACGTGGTCGCCCACCAAAGAAGATTGTAAGCTGCCACTTTCCTTAAGCACTGGCAATTTACTTAGTCTATTCCCTATTTTAGCAACTGCCCGTGAATAAAGTAGAGTCAGAGGCAAAGCGTCTCAAGCTGACTGACACGGCGAGTAATCCAGCGATGCCAGCACAGTTCCCGCCCCAACAAGCCAACAACAATGCGATATTACCCAGTTTGATGCCGATCGCAGCGTCGGCAAATTTCCAACAGACGCATCTCATGGCCCTCTTTCAACTGCAGAATCCGCTTTTCTATCAAAATCTGTATCCCGGCGCCGCAGCTGCAAATATGCTGACCGTGCCACAGAATGCATCCATATTTGGCAACTTGGCCGCTTTCAGCGCGGCGGCTGCTGCGGCAGCGGCGGGTGGCGTGCAACAGCCAAAGACAGAGTTTAGCATTAAACCCGAGTTCAAAGAGTAGATGCCAACGACCTACACAGAGAGAAAAATGACTAGCTAAATTTGAGTATCTGCAGTACTAGGAAACCAAACTTGGTATCAGAATAATTCACTAATAATGAGCCCAACAAATTGCACATACAGCTTAAATCAAATATTAATTGCACATTTCTTCAAATAAGTTTCAAGTGCTTTATTTGAGTTTTAATTCCGGTTCCAAATTTCACTTTTTTCTAGTCCAAATCTATTCGTTTCTCTTTAAAATTGTATTGCATTTAAATTACTCATATTTAGTAAATTCAATCTTTGATCTAAACTTTTTAGTTTGAGTACGAGATACTTGACTTTTTTTCTCTGTGTCGCCGTTAAGAGATATATATATATAGGGATGTATAAATGTAAAGATGTATAGGTGTATCCAGTATGTGTACATATATATATATAGTTGTAGTGTTATACTAGACTGACTGATTTGGACGTTTTGTTTGACAGAGACCAGGGCATCGGGCTCTAAGCAGGTTTTCGGGTTTTACCGGGTAAATGTTGATGCATGGTCAAAACGTTCCTTTGCCTTTTTAAACCCATACAAAAGCGAACTCAGCCACATTTTGTTGGCTTAACAGTCTCAACAAAATGTCGCTGAATTCGCTTTTCAATATGATTTTATTTCAGCTTTCATTAAAAGTACAAAAAAAAAAACCAAAATCAAAGGAAAATAAAACTTAATTTTAGTTAAACTAAAACTGTGATGTCTTGATTGCTTGTCTTTTAAACAAATGTAAACAACATACTTGAAATGCTTGAAATATATAAATATGACTTTAGGAGCTTTTAGTTTGAAACCAAATAAATATAATATTGCTTTGTGATATGTTAATGAAAATTCCAAATGGTTTTACAATTTGTAGATGAAATATTAAATACAATTTGTTTTCTTTTTAAATAAACTAGTGTGTTTTTAAATCAAGCTATGAAATGTGTTTTTTTGTTTGGACAGCTGGACGAATTGACAGACAAATAATGTAAGAAATTCATTACAATTATTACAATATTTGGTTGCCAGAATGTATGTGCGTGATATACTCTAAAACACTTGACGAACAGTGTATTCACAATGCAACGGTAATCGCGTTACATTAATAGGCATTAACAGCAGGCCTCTAAAAAATACAAGCTCAAGTACGCAATCTTTTACACAGTCAAACATATTACCGCTGACTATGAGCAGACTTATAAAAATATGTTCAAGTTCATGAACGCGCTGATAAAAATTACAGACGACATTAAATAGAGAGACCTAATATTTAACAGGAGCACTGAGTACGTACATAGACCGTCTCTGAAAAATTGCGCTCTTGAGTTTTGTTGCCGGTCAGTAGAAAAACAACACAAACAAGTTCGAGTTGCAAAGTGGAGAGATTTTCCAATAGAGATCGGATACGTCTTGCGATCTCTTTAATGATCGCTCTCTCTCTCTCTCTCTCTCTCTCTCTCTTTCACTTAGTTACTCTTCTGTAGAGAATTCATCATTGTGGCACCTGACTCAAGAGAAGTGCAGTGAGCTTGTTTGGGGAACAAGTGCCTTGAGTGCAGGAACAATTTGACTTAGTTCTGCTTCAGCCATTGCATGGATAAGTTCGGTTTTCTGTTTTATGATTGATTGTTGTGATAGTTCTTTTTGTTACAGTTGTAACTTGAATATTCAAAAATATGATATAGAAAATTAATGAATTGATAAAATTAAGAACATATCCACTGCAAAATAAATTATATTAAATTTTAGTAAGTTTAGCAAATTGTAAAAATGTCAAATTTGCTTACAAGAAACATCAAAACAAAAGAATAAAATAGTTGAATTAATTCATATTCAAATGAAAACTGTTTTTCTTCTATATATAGATATATACTTCTAAATAATTTATTTGTCTATATGAGATGAGATGAGTAATGTAAATGTGAACGCTGTCAGTCAAACACTATTAAAATTAAAATATTTCTTACCCATCCATACCCTGTTCTTCAAGTATGTGAGCGAAACTTATTTTTTTCCAGCTGAAGAAAAATCCATTAAGCTGTCTGAACAATGACTAAGACAAATCACAACAAAATTTGTAACCGGTTTGTTCGAAGCACAGGAACAAGGTCGTCGGACGCAGCATAGTACAAATGTTTTAGATTGCAGGAGTAAAAATAAGTAGTGGGTTAGAGTTCAGGCAGAATATTCAATAATAGTCACAACAATTAAATTAAATTGTGGAGTAATACATTTTGCCAACCACAACATTTTCATATTGTATAAAAGGACATTAAATGATTGATATTGTACTAAGGAGCACACTCTTCGAGCTTTTAATATCAATCGTTCAAGGAGAATCTTTGAACAAAGCATTAAATTCATCTTGGCACAATTTCTGTATTATTTGTAGACACAAAATAGCCCATTGGCATACTTAAACAGGGTTATCGCCTTTTGCCTGCCTTAGACCTGTTTCTGTGGTTTCCCATTATATTTTATAATGTGTAACCACAAACACATTAAGCTAATCAACTTATATTATTAAACCTGATTGCTTAGTGAGATTGTAAGCATTAGTTTGATCATATAATAATGATAAATAATGGAGCTGAAGATAATTAAATACAGACCATCACCGACAGTATATTAAGTACTGCTGGTGGAGAGATCTTAAGAAGCCGGTTTATGTTCTTCAAATTGTAGGTGTGTATCCCAAAGTTTGAATAAGTATGTATAAAATACGGCTGCCTTTTGTTTACTTTAGCTATAAAGATTTTGGTGCATGGCTTTTAGGCTGGAGGCATGGGGCATAAACTTTTGTTGCAACTGTAATGCATGGCTTGCATGAGGCACCGTATAGTAAACATTAATCTATGTACATATTTATATAACCACACACGCATAACCATAGTAAAAAATAACTGTTATAAAAGAACAAGTTTTTTGACCTGTAAGTCATATTTTGAGTGAATACCATGAGCGGCAAATCTTAAAGAACATAAAAGCTTTTACCAATCCGGCGACCAGTCGTCACGCCTGGTAAACACTACTAATTGGTAGCGCCATGGATGAAAGCAACTAGTAAAATAATATGTATTATTATTAATATAGAGGTAATTTTTATGACGTTTTTATGATGGGTCTGCGATATTAAATAATACATCAGCTTTAAAAAAAATACTATGTAATTCTCAGGTGCAGGAATTAGTTAAAATGCTTGATAAGAGAGAACATAACAACAACAATAACTGCAATTCTTACGGTAATAGAAATAACATAAAAAGTTGACACAACAGTTGACACAGTTCCTACAGTCGGCATTGAGAACCGAAATTCAGCGCTTAAATTAAAAGAGATTCTTAAATTGTGTCTGGATAAGAATGGAAAAATAAATAATTTATAAGTTTGTTCTTATCCAACAATACTATATTATGTCGGATCTTTAACAATATCTTTGTTGAAATGTTCTCTTCTGTTCTCAATTGTTGGTATGTATTTTCCGCTATATTAAATGATGTTGCCTAAATACTTGGCTCAAGAACAAAACCGGTCACTCAGTAAACAACGAGATCTCTTTGTCATATTTTCAGTGCATGGTGATTAGTTTACTTATTTGCTCACATTTAAAGTTCAAAAATGATTGAGCAATTAAATTTTATATTTTTCACAAGCGCTATGACGAAATCACAATTTCCGCATTAACTATCTATGCGAAAAGTCTTGACTTTCCACGAGCTTGCAATGTCGATCGATACAAAATTATATGTTGTAGTCGGAAGTTGAAGTCGTTAGTTTTATGCTGAGGGTTCTCAGCTCAGTTTTGCTTATGAAGAAAGGAATTCACTACCAGGTATGTGTTCATACAAGCATTCAACAAGCATTTGTTCAATTTTTTGAGCTAAGTCTTGCTTTCAACTTTTCAAGAACTACATTTGACAAATAAATGAATATTTTCGACTTATAGTTAATAATATTTTATATAAATAAAGTACCATATGAAAAGAGTGAATTTTGTTAAAATTATTAAAAAGTTTCACGCATAACTGATAACTTTGCTAGACGGATTTAACAATATTGAAGAGATGTTGAATCATTAAGAAACATTTTTCACAATGAAATAAAAAAATGATTATTATTTAATTATTGTTATTAAATTAAGTTTGGTCATGATTTTTTTTTTAAGTTTCAGAGGCTTTAAGCAAATAATCTTTTTGGTTCAATGTATTTTTCTTCACAGTCCACCACACTGGCTCCACTGTGGTTCCATTCACTGGCATCTGGCATTTGTGTTATCAGCGACTGTTTTTTTTTTTTTTTTGGCTATAAAGTATATTATTCATTTGAGTTAACTATTTTTTAACTATGTGTACTTAACTAACATTTCTCACATTTACGCTAAGCTCAATTTTTATATTGAACCACCTTTGTGATGAAAATAAATTATTACTTAACTGATATTTGTAAATGTAATTTGTAAAACTATTTTTTATTGAATAGCTTGGATAAATGCATAGTTATCCTTCAAATATATAGACTATATATAAATAAATATTTATTGCTGACAAAAATATATTTTTATTTTTAAGAAATAAAACTTCCCTGAAACAACAGCAATATCAATAGTTTTAATAGTAAAACTGTAGGATGGGCACAGGAGGAGATGATTCTCAATTCTCAAATTTTCCATTGCCATCTGTTTTGTCGAAACTGAACCGATTTCCGAAAGCAATCAGTTTCTATAATGGTTTGACCCCAAGATTAATCCTGGAATTACATTTGCGAACATGATCTTAGATCAAAATTGATGCAATTATTTTTCAACAAAATAAGTGTTTGAATTCTCAGGAGAACGCCTGGGAAGTTTCGCAAACTTTTGTTAAGCCCCTTTAAGTTAACTTGTCCAATCTCACTAGATACAAGTGTTGAGAGATTGTGCATAAAGTCAACATTTGTTTATATGTTTGCCGTGTTGACGACTCAATTAAAAAATTGGTTAGTGAGGGAATATCTTATGTTGCATTTTATCTTTGTACATTAGTTCAGTAGAAATCGCTCTTATATAGGAAGTCGGGAGAAAATCGCTCACTTACCAAATTACACAGATTGCGTAATAAAATGAGTTAGATATTATGGTAACACAAACTTGTGTTCATAAGATAAGAATAACAATGTAGATAACTTAAGCCAAAGAGCTCTGCTTGTTATGGCACTTGCATGTTGGGCCTAATTAAAACTTTCCTAATTTTATAGTCATAGAGAGACTTTGAAGACAACCAGCTCTTATCATTAATTGCACCAAAGTGTTTAGTCAGTGAGGAATTCATGATGTCGCTGTTGTTGTCTTTTGCATTGTAAGTGAATTAATTGAGATGAATGCACCTAACTGTGTGATTGAGGGACCGGAGGTGTAGGCTATGGAGGTGTGGCAAAATGACGTCCAACGACTAGGCAGCCGTTACCTTCTATACCTCCTCCTCATCGTCATTTACCTCCTGCACCTCTTGTGCATGTGTTCGTTTGGTCTTCTAGTAGATAAAGATACAAATCTGCACGAAGCCTGTTTCCTGTTGCACTGGGGTGCATTAATTTGCATGATGCACACAATCGGCCGCAGCAGCCAACTCCACTTACACATACACATACACATACATATTTGCACAAACATACATATATATTTATATATATATATCGTATATGTGGCTAGCTGGCTAGCTGTTCGTGCCTTAAGCAGGTGCATACTTGGATAATGGCAAACAGCGTCGCAATGAGTGTAGAACGTCCAACCCACATATAAAAGTGAATCGTTTCTTGGTTGCATCATCTTGTCGCCAATAATGATGCTGCACAGACTGTACATATAGCTTTTTTATTTGTTTTTTTTTTTTTGTGTTTTCTTTTATTTTTTGTACCTTGAAGTGTGCTTTTGCGTTCCAGGAAGCTCTTCAATTTTCTTTTACAGTTTGCTCTTGCGTGCTTCGTTATTTTCCGAATGTACAATATATATAAATTACAATGAAATCGTTGTGGCAATGCAATTACATAGCTGTGACTAATTGGGAGCCGGACAGCTTAGGATAATGGGCAGAAGGGAATCATTGTTTAAATTATTGCACATCACAATAATTTGGAGAGCCTTCGTAATTACGAAAGTTGTCATAATCAAAATCTTATGAATTCATACTCTTATCAGTATTTAAATATCTATATGTTTGTCGATTCATCGCCTATGTGTTGGACTTAGTAAACCATTAATATTTGGATGCTGAGCTTTTGGCACCCCAACTGCAAGGATTGATTTTCCAATGCAAAGCACATGTCCACTTATTTGAATGCCAACTAAAAAATGCCGAAAAAAGTTCTTTGGTGGAATTTTACAAAATTCCTAAAGCACAAGTTTTTTTTTTTTTAATTTTGTTTAGTTGTTATAATTTTAATTATTTTTTTGTTATAATTTTTACACACACATTCATTTAAGACATGTTCTCATTAGAGCATCAGATGCCAGAATCGGCCGATGGCGTGTTAATCTATTCTAGTTTTAAGTGTTACCGGATATAGTTAGTGGAGATGCATGCATAGATAGGCCCGTAGCTAAGCGATCTCAGAGACCGCCGCTATGCAGGTGTCGTGCCATGTGTAGATTTTTCAATAAAGGCACTGCACGAATGTATCTCCCTGTTGAAAGACTATGCGTTGAGAGCAATTACACTTGTGCACTTCGGTATCCACACGAAAAGTGAGCATGCTACTACAGTCAAAGCCCCCTATTATTGGACATTATTGCGCCCGGGTGGCAGTTCTATTTAGCCAGCCAATTATAAGCTTATTAAAAACGGTAATTATAGTCATAGTTTATATTTTCGTATGTACATGTTTTAAAAATACTTGTTTTAATCTTTAACTTTTACATTTGTTATTTGATAAAATTAGAAAAGTTTTTACATTACATTAAATAAATATTGAATTGAAATAAAATAGATATACCTAAATTCGTTCAAACATAATTACAAAAATATTGAAAACTAAAACAGTAACTGATATACATATACATATATATAGTAGGTTAATCATTTTTGATTTTATAAAAAGATGTCGTACAAAATGTGCGTTAAAAATTAAAAACATTTCAGTCGAACTCTGCCGACTAATTAATACTCTGTTTTTCAGCTGGAATTACAATCGAGAACATAGAACGTAGCAAAGGGAGAATTCTTCTGGTTTTAGGGGCATATGACTCGAAAACTATGATGTAAATAACATATTTGTATTTTTCTGGGGTATATTTTATATTTTTGGTTCGATTATAATCCATATTCAATATTTTGTGATGTTAGATGTATGTATTTGGGAGATACTTTGAAAAAATTAAAACGAAGCAATAAAGGTTCTAAAATATGTCTTTCATACAGGCGGACGGATAGACAGCATATATTTTCCGCTTTTTTTGGGAACAGAGCATAGAAAGAAGGTCACTTAAAAATGTGAATAGGTAATTAACTGGTTCTATATATTTTATATAACATCAAAAAACATATTTTAATTTCAAGGAGGGTGTTAACCAATGATACGCGGCAGGCTTCAAATTGGAACTTTAGCTTCTCCAGTCGGCTGTACTTAGTTGGGGACATCAGGAACTAAGTATGTGACTGATAATATTGCATACTTATAGTTATTCATTTGGGGCTATGAGTCGGAGTAAATGATGCATCTTTTACTCTTGCCAACCGACGCCAAGGAATTACTGTTCGGACTCCAACTCACTGCATTCACCGCCGAGCTGTGAAAGTAAATAAAACCAGAAGTAGTTGCGTTAGGGTTTTCAACAAAGCAAAAGCACAAGATTGACGAGAAATGAACGCAAAATAGGCAAATTGCGGACTTATGTATGTAATTATGATCGCATGCATTGATTGTATTAAACAGCCAATTACGCACCTGTGCCCCTTGAGCGTCGTTTCAAGAAATCCATTCACATTCCATATGTATATTGTACCGTCTGCCGATCCACAAGCGATCTTTGTCGCAACCGAATTGAAGGCGGCACGCGCGAAATCACAACTGATTTTAAAGTTCTCATTTCTGTCAGAATCGAAATTAGATGTTTAAATGTTTTCTTTGAAATTATAAAATCAAACTTACGAAAATGTGGATATAACTTGATTCTTTCGTAAGTCTAATAGTTTTATTGTATCATCTCGAACGGAACATATCAAGTAATTGCAATCTGTTCAAATAAATAAAGAGCGTATTTGAATAAATATTAAATTTGCTTTGTTGAAAACTCTTACCCTTTGATAAATCCAGTGAGGTTATTTTGGCAGGCATAAGCACATCATCAGCTTGTTTTTCTGTACGTATATCCCAGAAGCGGATTTTCTTATCATAATGGCCACTTATTATTGTCGAACCCAAACTGTCCGTTGTGCATAAATCATTGCAACTGGAGCCGGCAAATTTCGTTTCTATGCAGGCGATGCTGCGTAAATCCCAAATCTTTAAAGTGCGGTCGTGACTTCCGGTTACAACTTTAATTGGCTCTTGGACATATTTGGCGGTCATCACCTTGCCACTGTGGCCAGTCAGGGTGTGCTGCAACGAACGAAGAGTAAAACCATTCAAGATCAAATACACAGTAGAATCAAAATCATAAAAACAAATTGTATCCAACAAAATTAATGATTAATACAAATTTAATATGATGAGCTGATGTTATGTAAACCGTTCTTGTATCAAATATAATTTACTAGCATCGCTTATTAAGTACATCGCATTAAGTTAGGCAGTTTTCTCACTGTGTACTGCATGTAAGTAAATACTAAGCAGAGATTAACGTAAGATAGTTCACAAATATATAGTATATACATTAAAAACATGGACGCTGTGAGACCCGCTTCCCCACAAAAATAACACCCTATTAAATGAGGTAAGTTTTTCCAAGAACAACATGTAATTAAAGTTGTAAGCACTTTTAATTATGGCGCTTAAAAACGCTGCTATTTTTATATTTTTTTTATAACGAATTATTGAATAAGGTTGTGTGTTTAGCAGTCTGGTGTAGCTGTAGTGCTGCTCTCCAACAAACTTCATGTGTGGACAAGGGTTTAAAAGGTTATTGAGTGACAACACTTTAATGTACTGTAAGAAAGTTACGGTTTGGTAGAAGTTATTGACATTTAGACCGCAGCTGGCACTGTCAGAAGACATTTACCTCTTGGGATAAATGATGCAGTATGCAAAATAGGTCTGAAGATTTGTCGAATGGCAAAATTTATTTGTGTCGTAAAGTAGAACCTGCTAAAAAAATATATATATAAAATTTTCCCACTCTTCGTTAAGGTGCGAAGAAGCAAACTAAATAGTTTTTTCTTTCAAACATATGCAAATAATCTCGTCAAAGGTAAGGAGACCTTATGAAGGTGTCGGTAACCAGAAGAGCCTGTTTATGTCCCTGACCAAGTTTTTCGTAGCAACGTCAAGTGGTGTACCGAAGCACATACTCTTAACAAGGCATTAGAAAGAGCATCAAGCGGAATGTTATCAACCCGGCAACTGAAGCCGAACGGTCAATGGACGCTCTGTAGACTTTGAGCATAACTTGCACTTGACAACAGGTTTATGCGTTTCGTTTCTCTTGCCTCTCTTTATGTGGAGACTTGGAGTTTAGACGAAAATAGCACTTTCATCGCTGACGTATTGCCAGAATTGAGGCATGACTCTCTTACGCATCCACCACACTCAAGCTGAGATTCATGCTGGTGGCTTCGTTTATCTTCAATGGAATGTCAAACTTGCATGCTGTAATGAAAGGCTTCTTATGTGCAATATAAGAACATAACATTGGTCAAATGAGTTTAGTTCTGCGGCAACCTTGCAGTAATCAAGTACGTGCTCCGACTACTCCTCAAAGTAGGTAGCTAACTGAATACATAGATAAATTCAGCGACAAAGTTAAATGTAACTCAGAAAACAGAGACTTTTTAAAAAGTGTTGTGAATATTCGGTGGCATTTAAAGAACAAACTAAAGTTTCAAAAACTACCTGCTTAAATGAATTAATTTCAACAGAGATTTATTTTCCGCCGGAAAGGTGTGGTGTCCCTTTGAACCCAAAACAATTAACAAGAATGTAAGACATTAACTTAAGGCGCTTTTCTTTAAGGGTCAAATGTATAATTGAAAAGTAAACTGTGATTTCATAATATTTGTGATTTTCTTTAAATATGTTCCGTTTTATTTTTTCTCTAATTTCAAGATACCATATTATATAATCCGTATAATTAAGTTGTGCAAAAATGTTGTTTTTCTATCCATACAATTAATATATTCTTAACATAAAATTTTATGGACTCTGTGTATTTCTGTTCGTCAGTTTATAAGAATATGATTTTAGCAGTTTAAGATTTAGAAAATGGTTTGTTTTTTTGAGAACTCGTCAAAAAATGAATGAAATCGATGTTGAAGCCACCGTTTTTGCCCATGTCTCGGATGCTATAAAATTCGCACGCTTCGCATACTTTTCTCAATTTGAATGAAATTTAATTTTTGGTCTTGTTATGGCATATGAATGCCATTCGTATAAATAAGAATAAATAACTACGAATAAAGGCAATGTTAATTGAGAAAATATGTAGGTCTTTCCCACAAAAATGTAATTTTAGGCTATTAAAAAAACCTGCTGAAATGTTGTGCGCTGGGAAAGAGCGCCTGAGCGTTGCTGATGTTGTCATTAATTCGAATAGCAATAATTCAGAGAAGAACCAAGAACAGCAATCACGTATATCTATTTATGTTTAGATGTATGTTGTTGCGGGATTCGCGGTATGATGATAAGACGGTAGCTTCAGTCAATGTGCTCATTTCAATGGTACAGCGTGGACAGCGGGATTGTCTCAAGATGTGCGCAAAAAGAACCGTTTAAATGTCAATCCAGAAATACCAGTTAGAAAAGGCGGTGCAGCAGATACAGATACAGATACACAGGCACACATAGCGCAGATACTTGCAAGAAATCGCACTTATATGTTTAGTCACATGCGCACAATGTGAAGCACCAAACACTGAGATGCGGTTGCCAAAGCCTAACATTGTTATTTAGGCCAAATCAATGCAGGTTCTCTTCTACGCTTCATGTCATATTTTGCCATTGATTTGATAAATAGCTGTGTACGCATAGTACAGTTTGGCATTTTCAGCTGAATAAGGAAATTAGCATTGATTGTATAATACATCGTTTTTGTTTTGTATAATATTTGATATCAAGAAATTATAATTAATTTTTTAATAGGCATGGAATATCAGTTGCTGTTTGAAATTTCTATGAAGTTTTTGCTTAAGGATTGATAAATATCGACTTCAAGGCGACAAAGTCTTAAATGTTGTTAAACGTAATTCACAGATTATTATCACTTCAGACCTTCGATTAATTAAGCAAAATTCATATGCATAATAATACAATAAGTGTTTCTCAGTGAGCATAAGAGCTAAAGACAACCAATCTAATATCGGGTTACATTCCTTGAAACGTATAAAGACCTAACGCTAAGCACTAATTGCATAGAGTGTAAATCAAAAGGAAGAAGTTGCAATTTTTACTTTGTAATCATGTTAATGTCGACACTAAACAGGCGTATTCTTAAATGGCGCTTGTTGATTGTTGCTTGACTACCGAAGCAGCTTTTTACTGGCCTACAAGGGCAATTATGCTTTGCCTTCTTCCCTGGTCATTTGCAAACACGATATTGCAATTTAATTTAATTAAGTTTTGCTGCTTGTTGCAGGATCATCAAGAAAAAAAAAACCTGTACACATTTTTTTCTCTTCTTTTAACGCCATTTCCTTGTGTGTTCTTCCGAGGGCTTTACCCTTAAGGTGTTGCTTTCACAACTTAATTCCCACTAAACAAGGCTATCTTATCTACTTATACAGTAGCTGGGGACGGGAAGCGTTTCTGTTTTTCACATTTCGTGCCAAAGTTTTGAGTTTTGTTTGATTACAGTTGTTTGGCCCTCGATAGAAAGTGGGTTATAATGTAAAACGTCGGCTACCTTCATGTACTTTCTGTAGCTGATTCATATTGGGTCATGTGTAAGACGGTAAATGTAAATTAAAATGCTAATATCTCCCATGAGAAAGACATGGCAACGCAGTGAGAAGAAAAATCAACTTACATATAAGCATAGTTTGCAGTCATATGACGTTTCTATGATTATTATCATGGAACAAAATTAATGGTAGTTAGAAAAATTTCCTTCTTCTTATGAAAAGTTTGGCATTGTATTGAGTGAATGGATCCATAAGTAAGTCAAATACGCTTTAAACTGGAATTTAGTTCAACTTCAACTCTTGACTATAACCTAACGATATTAGGACAGTTGATTTTTGGTCCTCACAATACTATTAAATAGAATCAGGTAATCTCAAGTTGGCGTACAATGAAAACTGTCAATCAGCAGTTGTCATTCGACAATGTTGCATTTAAGATGTTCGCCTCAACCCAAAAGATGCCAAACACAGAGCTCAACTGGCTTCGTTAGTTGGGTTTCTTTGTCAGTTAACAATATTTGAAATGCTTCAACCTAATTTGAGAACAACAATATCGCATATGCCTAGTAGAATCGTATATATTCACCGATTTTCGTGAGACATATATATCCCATAGACAAATATATATTGTAAGTGTTTATTTGAACTCTAAACTCATTTTAGAAAAACTATATTGGATTAGATTTAATTTATAACTGACTATTTCATGTTGTCTTGCAAGAGCTTAGATGCAGAACGAACTATTTTTATACATTTACAGTGCAATATAATGGTATATTAAACGATTAACAAGCATTTCATCTTCGCACGCAAGATGATCTAAATTGCACACAGAGATTACAATCTTTTACCACATCGCCTCGTCTTTCATTTGTGGATGTTTCTTAAGGCGAAAAAGGTAGACTAGTCTAGTCAACAAAATGTTATTTATACATGTAGACAAAGGTAATCATACCATATTAAGACCATTAGGATTGATCCCAGGAATGCATTGCATACATAAAATTATGGGGAATGCGAATGGTAGCCCAGCAGGGAGCCAAAGCAATTTTGCACTGACAAAATGACACCTTGGGCCGTGGCACGAATGAAAAGATAATTAAATTAATACCATTGCTATTATTTTTCTTAACGTTTTTTTTTTGCAATCGCAAAAGAAATCAAAAATAGACATCGCACACACAGGAGTCCATCCAGCATATTTTTCCAATGAAAAACATAAAACCATTAAGCAGTATGAGGCCAACGCACTTTTTGTTGCCTCTACTTTTGCTCTTCTGCCTGGGCCCAAAGGCAGCCGATGGACGAGGCTCTCGTATTGACCGAACGAATAGTGCAACTGCAACAGCAGCAACTGCAGCAGCATCAGCTAGCAGTAGTGACAATTTGGCGGACTTGCAACCAGTCGTCATTCAGCTGGCAAAGGCATCAATGCCTGAAAGTGACAAAACAAAGAGCACCGACAACAGCAAGCAGAAGAATGATCAATCATCGTATCTGGCTAATACCGGCGCGGGTCAGCGCGGGACCACAAAGACCAAATTGGTTGACGGTAAATATTTGTACAAACAGCAGTAGTAGGGTTAAAAAAATAAAAACACCAACCAACCAACTTGATAATCGTTGCCCTTTACTAATGCGATTAACAATTTTTATTGATACCAGATGCCAACAAGACAACAGATCAAGCTGCGCTGCAATTATCAAAGGAACAAAAACATGAGGATATCGTCTTTGAGCACCTTTTGCCAGCTAGCAACTATCACAATTCGATCAGCGAGTGTGATCCAGATTTGCTAGGCTTCGAAATTATCACAGGGTGAGTAAGCAAGAGGACATAATCTTGCTGCCAGAATCTCGCCGATTTTAATAGTCATCATACAAACTACTTACTATTTACCACATACATTTGAATTTATTTAATTTATTGTCTCGTTTACATTTACAGCTATGTTTTTTCGGCACCCGGTAGAGTGATGGAGTCATTACCTGGCACCTTAATGCTCACAGACTGTTTAGAATCTTGCCAAAATAATGAAACATGTCTTTCTATAAATTATGAAACTGGTCTTTGCGTTCTATTTTCATCCAATGCAGATATTTTATCCGGTAAGTTGGATTATTATTTACTCACTTTAACTATATATATATATTATATTATTATATATATTAGTACTTAATTTGTAACTTTCATTTGAAATTGATTTTTTTAAAACATAATAAAAGTACAGACAGGTAGTTAGTTCCCAATTCTTGAGATATTGAAACAGTTCTAATGCAAGATTTAATTTGTAGGTGCCCTGACAAAATCACAATTCCCAGTTTTCACCATCTATGCACAAAAAACCTGCTTAGGTGTGCGACCTTGTGCAAGAGCTTGGTGTATTGATCGAGTACAAAACTATAGGCTTGAAGGACATGCCAAAAGGATAATGTCCGTGACATCGCGTCGAGATTGTCTCGAATTGTGTCTCGGCGAAAATGAATTTATATGCAGGTGAGTCTAGAATATATTTTATTACGATTGATTTGTGATTATGGTGTTGGCTAATTTATGCATGCAAATTATGTATTCAAAATAAAATTTGCATTTAGTAATTTATTTCTCTGTCTCTTGAGTTTGTTGCTTAGCAATAATTTATATATTCTTGCAGATCGGCAAATTACAATCGGGATTCGAATACTTGCGAGCTCGCTGAAATGGATCGCTTTACATTGGCCGGCTCGAATTTATTCCAAGCACATAACGGAAGCGAATATTTGGAGAACAATTGCGCCGAGGAACCAAATAAATTATGTGAGTTTAAGCGTTTGCCAGGCAGAATTCTAAAAACAGTGGACTCGGTTTACCAAGATATTGGTAGCATTGATGAGTGCCGAGATTTGTGTCTCAATTCACCTTATAGGTAAATATTTAATTTCAAATATGACTGCAAGTTGTAAATGTTAATCATGTTTATAAAAAAATGTAAATAATTGTTGCGCACATTTTATTTTGTCTCTGCTTAGATGCCATTCATATGATTATGGTGATACTGGGGATATGGTCTGCCGACTCTCGCATCATAGCAGGGCAACACTTTTGGATGTTCAAGATCCGTATTTGGAGGTACCCGAGGCTGCCACATATGAACTATCATCCTGTTATAATGTGACCATCGAGTGTGGAGCTGGAGACATGGTCGCTCGCATACGCACATCGAAGCTCTTCGATGGCAAGGTCTATGCGAAGGGTTCGCCCAAATCTTGTGCAGTGGATGTGAGCAGCTCTCTGGACTTTGAGATACGTATGGGCTACCAGAATCTCGAGTGCAATGTTCGTCAGAGTGGATCGGGTCGTTATATGAATGACGTTGTTATTCAGCATCATGACACTATAGTCACATCATCAGATTTGGGCCTGGCTGTGACCTGTCAGTATGATTTTACCAACAAGTCGGTGACAAATGATGTCGATTTGGGTGTTGTGGGCGATGTGGAGACAGCACTATCTGAGGAGGTTATTGTTGATTCGCCCAATGTGCTGATGAGGATCACCTCCAGGGACGGCTCTGATATGATGCGCTCGGCAGAGGTGGGCGATCCCCTGGCCCTTAACTTTGAGATCGTTGATCAACAGAGTCCGTATGAGATATTTGTACGTGAATTGGTTGCCATGGATGGTGCGGATAATGCTGAGATAACGCTAATAGACTCACAAGGCTGCCCTACAGATCATCTAATTATGGGACCCATACTCAAAAGCCCATTGTCGGGCAAAATATTGTTTTCAAATTTCGATGCATTTAAGTTTCCGTCGAGTGACATGGTCCAGTTTCGTGCTTTAGTCACGCCCTGTATGCCCAGCTGTGAGCCGGTGAAATGTCAGCAGGATGACATTATTGAGGAATTCAGATCGCCATTATCTTATGGACGTCGACGGCGCGAGATTCATGCAACATGTAAGTAGATTTTATTATACCCCATTATAATCAGAAATATGGGTGAAAGGCTTATAATTAGTTCTAGTTGGTTTTAAGACCCAGTGGCATCCGAATTTCTATTTATTCAAGCAGATATAGACAAGGAATTTGTTATTTTTCTAAAAATTGGAAGTTCATTTTTTATATTAACATCTTTATTCTAAAGAGAACAAGAAGTTCATCATATCTGCTCGTCAAATACACTATTTCTTGTTATCATTTCCAATGTGCTTATTATAGATATACCATAAAACACGACACGATAAACAAAATCGAACAAGATAATTAAATATAGCTTGTACTGACTACAGAAATAAACATGTCATAAATAAAAATAAAATATATATTTTTTATGTTAACTTGCAGCCAGTGTTGTTGGCCACCAATTAAGACGGACAAGTCGTGAGGCAAGAGCTGGATTGGTTGAAAGTCAACCAAGTCAGGAGGATATGCTTCTAGTACAATCGATTCAGATTACCGAAAAATTTGGTTTCGGCAAAAGGGAGCAACTGCAGCAGCATACAAATACAAATACAAATACAGTGAAGGATAATTATGACAATGCTTTTATTTTGAACAATAGAGCAACAGATTATTGTATTAACGGCATCGGTAAGCAACGAGAGGTTATTATTAACTGATCATGCAATCTAATCTAAGCGAACAACAAACGTCTTTTTCAGGTTTCATTGTGGCTGCCACAATATTTTTTATAGCGCAGTTCATTGTTATTGCGATTTGTTCGTTTTTATATCGACGACGAGATAATCAACAGCCATATGTTAATCACTTTCTGAAAGCAGCCACGAACTATACAAACACCGCCGGCAGCGCCAGTATCGCATTTGGTAAATGAGATGCCAAGCGCTCCAGTGGGGTTTTTTATGTATGGAGAAATTTTGTGGGCGTTATCTTGAAATCGCTTATAAAATATTGCAATATTTTAGTTAATAAAATTTAGAAAACATATTATAGAATTTAAGAAAATAAGTAAAACAAAAAAAAAATAATAATAACAAAAAGTGATATTTGGAAAATGAACAATTTTTAAAGTGACTATCTATAAGTGAAAATTTAAAACATAAGAAATAAAAAAAAAAACAAAATACGACATTTCTCAAGTTAACACTTCTTTTTATTCCCTAGCAGAGAGTGTCATGACTTTGGGAAATAAATAATTTAATTTAGACTTTTGCAAGAGTATGTTATCGTCTTTATTTCTTGTTTCTGATTTATTCAATAATTGGTTGTGTGAAATTTAGCGTATATTAAGGCCAAGACTATGCGGTAAATTGATTTATTTCTCCTATACCTATATAATCATGCAAATCACTTAAAAAAGACTGAGTAATCTTTTGTCAACGCTTAAGCAATATGAATTTGTCATAATTTAACCTATAAGATCGAAAATTTTGTATTCGAAAGCGTGTTTAAGATTAAAAAGCAATTAGTGCTAAACGTCTCTACTCACAATGCTTTGTAAATAATAAATGAAAACGTTTGTGTCCACCTTAACTAAACTATCAAATATCAAACCATACCATTAGTAGTAGAAATATATCTCGAAGACTTACAAAGAAATCTTATTTATATGACAAAATAAAATACTAATTAAAAACAAAAACCATAAATTTGTATATTTTAATGAAGTACTCACCCTTAACCGATTATCCATTACGGTCCAGACTCTGGCGCCATAATCGTTCGATGTGCCCAAAACATATGAACCAGTTGAGTCAAAATCGACCGAGTTAATGCCGGCACTACTCCCACTAAGCACAGCACGGGGTTCCGTAGCACCTAAAAATCATTAAAAAAAAATTTACGACGATTTAATAAAACACTTAGGCAACTCACTCTTTCTCAAACAGTAGCTACCTTTGCCAATATCCCAGAGCTTGACTTTTCTATCAGCACCGCCCGTGGCAACCATTCGACCAACCGGACTCCAGCGCACTGCATGCGATTCGTTCTCATGCGCCTCGAACTTCATTAAGATATTTGTTGGATTTGGCTGTCCTAGGTAGCCGGCGGCTTTCATTGTGTCAATGCTGCGGCGTAAATCATGACTCGTTTCACCGGCCGTAAATCTGGCATTGATATATTCCTCATCGTCGAGCCCTAAAGCTTCCATAGCGCCGTTTATCGATGCCTCATCGAATTCGTCGTCACTCACAGTGGCCCCTCCTCCAAACTGAGCGGGACTCGAGTTGCGATGCAGTGGTGTACCACCGGCCGCTGGAACTGACTGATTAACTGCCGAGTTCGGTTCTCGGACGGCGTCCTCCAAGTCACGTTTTAGCTTTGCCGAACGTTTTCTGAAAATTGACGGCAGTCTTTTTCTAGATATTTTTGAAATCGGTTACACATTTTATGTTGAACCAAATAGAATCAAATCAAGAAGATAAAAAACAATAAAATCGAGAAAGCTCGACTGCATGACTACCCTGTACCCAATTGTCAAAAGTATATACCACTCTTTGTGAGTTGTTTGATGTACTGAAACGATCAACAAAACTGACTTGAATAATTTTTTTAAACTAATTTTACATAGGGTTAAAGTTTTTGAATGCAACTTCTCTTGGCTGCTGTAATCGGAGAAAAAGCTTTATATATATATGATATCTTAGAGCTGCAGGATCACATTATTTTGAGCAGACTTAAAGCCTTCACTTTCTAAAATTTAACAATTTTATTTTATGGGTACAGGGTATTTTAAATAACGCAACCAAATTAAGATGATAAAATACATGTTTCCAAAATGCAAGCTGAAAATTGTATGATTTTTTAACAAATATTCATATTAGTTGTTGGTGTAATAATCAATTGTAATTAGTATTAATGGTGTTAGTTGTTATCTGAAGAACAGGCTTCAAATAATTATTAAATAGTTGTGTAGGAATTTTAGAGACAGTATTAAAAATTAATAATCATTTTGTTGAGACAGTATTTGTAAAAGTATTTATTTTTTTCACATTAAATTTGAATATAAACGTAATGAATCTACCTCATAGCGACGCCTTCATTCTGACTTATGCAAATTGCTAGATCTATTGAGCTGATAGGGCTGATCAATAAACTGATAATAATAAAATAAAACAAACTGATAGTGTATCTTGTTTACTATTCCATACAGAGGCATTGCTATATTATGTCTGTTTTGATGTTTTAATATAGTACATTGTACTTCCACTTTTCCCATATTCCTCTATTTGTTATTTATTCAGTTCACGTATTATTTATTTAGTCAACGTATTAAATATCTTAAAAGGCATTTGAAAAATAATAAATAATACTACATATAACAATTAACTTAAATTGACATCAGTTTAAGCTAAGTTGTCCAGCTGGCAGACTAATTTCGATGCAAATTATAATTATACTCTTTTGTACCTGTCGGCTATAAAAATATTTATGAATATATATATTTGTATAGCCCACTTTCAAGATAACAATTCAGTGAATATATTTTTTTAATTGATGTGCATTATGAAGTAGAGCAAAAACAACAAAGTTTCCACTATAATGGGAAATTTGTTTAGAATGGTAGTAATTTAAAAATGTATATTCACACATGCACATATAAATGGGGTAATTTGTATATGTATATATGTTAGGAAAAAGTATTATTTCATTGCATTTTTACCTGATGATACTTTCGTTCTCTTCATTCAGCTTGTCAGCATCTTTTGACTTATAACGCATTAATCGATCCAACAAACTGCGATTTTCATCCTGTAAATCGAAAGAAAATGTCATATTTAGCTACAAATCTGCATTAAGTAAAATTTGCTGCGTTTTATAATAATAAATATTTTTTATTGTTATAAATTAGAAGCGTTAACCTTTTTTGTCTGGTATACTTATAATTTTAAGAAAAATGTATTTTAATGAAGATCTAATTTATCAATAGACATATTCTTTAACAGCTATATAATTTGGGTAGCCTCGAGTCGATTCGGTGTTGATGCTGATCCATAGTATATATCTTGATAGCTTCGTTGATAAAATTATAATAACCTCTACCAGAATATACTAACAAAAAAATTTCCGCACTCAATTATCGATACTCACACTTATTAGTCATTTATATTTTATAATGAACTTTATTAAGACTAATTTGCATACAAACAGACAGACAGAAAATTTGCCAAATTATTCATTAAATTTGCTGAATCTGTCACTCATTACTACATACATATATGTATATCCCCATATATTTATGAGTGACAGATTCAGCAAATTTAATGTTAATGAATACCATGTACGAATTTAAATAACTGATAGCAAATTCCTCAAATAAATACACACATACATGCTCTTTACTACATACAGATATCAGCAACTTACCAAGATTCTTTAAGTTTGAATAAGCAATGATAATAGCATATAATTTAAGAAAAATAAAACAATTTAGATTAAGTAATAATATTTAAAGTCTACGTTTAGTAGAAAAGTACATATATAAATTTTAAGGCAATGCTACAATGATGACAGCACAGTCAATATTAATATAAACAATAAAGGTATACGTGCATGGAATAAATTAGGCAGCAACTAACCTGTATATGTCGCATCTTATCTTCGAGTGAACTGAACGCCAACTGTAATGCTGTGTGCTCATCCAACAATGTTGTGTTTAGTTTCTTAAGTTCATCCAAACTGGAGTGGAATAGCTGGACCTCTGCCCGCAAACTGTTATTGACAGTTTGTAGTTTGTAAAGACTGGAAATATAATGTACTATATGAGGTGAACTAAACTCGGCCAGGATAGTAGTTTCATCTCCTTAATCACCTGTGCTCCTTCTCGTTGAGTAGCTTCTTTTGCTGCTCCACCTTCAGATTCAGATCGACAATCATTTGGGAGTGTTCACCCTTCCTTTTGTGAAGATCTGTGAGTTCCTCCTGCTGTGCCAATAGCTTTTTTTCCAGCGTAGCCATGGCGACATTGGGGCCAGTGCCACCTGTTGACACCGCATTTCTCAGTTGCTCGTTCTCGACGGATAGCTTCAGATTGTCGGATTTCAGTTGCGCAACATGATCTATAAGACGATTGTCTACGAAAAAAGCAAAAGTAAAATGTTAATAAGTACAAAATTCAATTGAGTTTAGCCCGTAGTCAGACCCAGTTAGCAATGCACTGAGTTCATATATCTATATATATATTTATATGAGTAATATATTTCTTACTTTGCACAATGATCTCCTTAAAGTTCTGGCATTCCTTGCGGTCTCGTTCTCGCAGTCTTTGAACAACGAGCTCGCGCCACACGAACTCCTCGGTGGACATTCTGAAATGTGTTTTAATATCTCGCCCTATATTTTTATTTTGCGCTTTGTTGCTTTTGTCGTCACAATACGTATGCAAGCATATTTCTCTTGCAACGGTTATCCACTAAATTTCCAGAATCTCTGCGTTACAATGACTTGCGAAGGAAAATGCTTTTGCAACCAATTAATGCTCTTTTCTTGCTGAGACAATTTGTTGTGACCGGACAATAATGTTGTACGCTATTTTGATGAACAGCTGTTTGATGTGGTGGCTCGTCGATAAGTCAAAAATGAAAAATACCAACGTTGGTGTTAAGTCGCGGGTAGTTGACGCAAGCCAAAATGTGATAGATACCGAAATAGTAGGATCCTGTACGAAGGAGCCTTTTATCAATTATTATGGTGCAATTTTAATTCGCACAATCGGTCTACAAATATAGGAACACGTCGAGGTCTGTTATCTGTGTGGCAACGCCATGCAGCTGAGAATGCAGCTCGATTCTGGCAATATGCACTGCTTTGTTTAACGTGAAGCTCCTTTTGGATATGCAACAACAATTTTATTAAATTTTTCATTTGAAGTTTGCATATTCTATACACCTATGCAAATTTCCATTAGTTTTGCGTGTTGAGAAATATTTATTTATTTATTCCTTGCGAAAATAAAAACGTCAATTGAAATTTTCGGTTTAACGATATTACAATTATTCGAAATCCTTTATTCTAGCTGGCAATGATGTCACGCTAATTTTTCTGGGCTTTCTTGAATAAATGTGGCAACGCCATGTAAGAGCGAGTAGTGATCCACATTTTTAAAAAATTATATTGTTCCAAATGCAAGAATATTAACAGATGAACAGACTTCGATTCAGTTAAAAAATGTAAGTCAACGTTTAATTTTTATTGCTGCAACTTAAACAATGAGTCAGATTAAATTATGAAGATCTTAAATGAAGAGACCAAAGCAACTATTCTTTTTCAAATTTGAAAATCAAAAGTCAATTAGTAGCTGCGTCTAGTTGTGGCGCCACATTTTTCTAGACATATACTTTACTTAACAAATTGCCAGAAATAAGCCCTCATTAAATTTAATTAGAGCAATTCAGTTAGTTAGCAGCCTAAGGCTGAGAAAATGAAATATAAGTACATTGCTCTTATGGGGAAGCCATATCAAAGCCAACTCCCATAAGAGTAATGTGCTTGAGAGACTTTCTACCATTTAATGCGTGCCTAGAGAGAGAGGGAGAGAGAGAAAGATCACTGAGAGCGAGAACCAATGTCAGTGTCAGCATTGCTAAGTCTTCGCTGCTGAATGCTGAAATCCAGTATTCCACTGGATTTCATTTAAAAAGCTTCATATTTGCATCAAAAACACTCATGTAGACAGACGGATGTAGTTTTATTTTCTCTCATTTTTATGCTGATTAGGAATATGTATAATTCAGTGTGTTGCGCTTTTAGTGACTAATTATAAAGACCTCAGCAAGGGTATCAAAAATGAATAAGTCAAGATCAGTAGTTTTAGTTCCCAGAGTCTTGCCTAGTTTCTGTTCTAAATACGCATAATGGAAGCAATTGTATCGAAACATCGCTAAACACGCAAAGGCAATTAAAATTGTTTAAAAACATGCAAACTCTCCTCCTACAAGTAATACGTGGCTGCCACTTCTGTTGCTGCCGCGGCTTTTGCAGCCACTGCTGCTGCCACTGCTGCTGCCACTGCTGCTGCCACTGCTGCTGCTGCAACTGCTGACGCTGCTAGTTGGTACAATGTAGTCACCACTCTGGCTGAGGGTGTTGGTTACAAAAGTGGAAATAACAAAACAAGAATGATGTTTGCTCGAGGCTAATCAACTAACATATACCCTATAACGAGGTCTTCTGTAATGTACTTTTCTAGTTTTACTTATTTTATCTCATTTTATTTTATTTCTTTATTGTTGGTTTATTTATTAATATTATTTTTTACTTTTTAAATATATAATTGCCATTATGTCTCTCTCTGTCTCTTTACTTATTTCTTTTAATTTTAGTTTTCTCTCTGTTTGTACTGGTTCAAATTACTATTAAAAATTTGTAGTATATGTTACATATATTTGTTGCTGCATTTCTTTGTACTGAGTATCTTCTAGTTGAGCACACTCGGCTAGTGCATTCTGGTTTAATCTAAAGGTTTTCATACTAACAAAAAAGAAAGAACAAAGACCATTTTTCTTAGTTTAGATAAATTCAAGCGATAATGAATTTATCGGAAATTAAATAATATACAATGTATAAAGAACCTTGAAACTTGAATTTTCATCATATCAATTTCAAACTCATTATCAGAGCTCTGCTTACAAATTGAATTCGATACGTGTTTGACCGGAAAAAGGGCGGAATATGAATGGATAAAATTGTATAGTGTAAACTTCGAACACTCCAAAAACCGGATAGTTCTGTCCGTATCTAATAATGTCTCTATAATAAATACTAATGTCGCAATAATTTCGTATAATTTATGCAGATTGGGACACTTATCATCGACACCTGCGCTTCCGACAGTGTCCTACCACCGGTTATTGCCTTAACTCTGTTAACTCTGTTAGCCGGTTCAAAATACCAAAGCATCCATTTTAAGATTAAGCCATTCCTGTGCAAAGTGTTCCGTTGTGATAAATAACAATTACTTCCACTGTCTGTAGCTAATCATCGTTGCTATTTTTCATAGCTCTTGCAGAATAATAACTGAGTTCCGCTCTTTTCTATTATTAATTCTTATGGTAATTAACTTGGGGGTTTCTCTTTAATTATTGTGTGTGAATTATTAAAATAAATATAAAATTATATTATTCCGTAAAAACATAAATATGATATCATTTGCTCAACTTTTGTGATTATTTCCCGCATTTTATGTATTTCATAAAAATATAAAAATAATTATACCAAAATCATTTGATCTACTTCTGTGATAATTTCCCACATAGGATTTGCGAGCTCCATTTAATGTGCAAATATTTGGTACAAATGTACAGAACTGCACACATAAATACAAACATCTTATTGCATTTACATACGTACAAACATACAGGTGTTTAATGACAAAAATGTGACTACGATTTATGCAAATGGTGCAACACACACATACATACATACACACTTATGTCATGTGTATATGTATATGTGTTGCCAGCATAGCAAAGCAGCAAACGAAACGCTTGGCCATTTTAGGAAAATGTTGTTGTGTTTTCGGCACCACAACCATTAAAAATACCTGCAAAATGCAGACTCTGAGGCTGCTGCCAACGCGTAAATGCAAAAGCAACCTGCCTTTCAGAAACTTCATTCATTTAATGCTGCACAACGAAGGAGCCCCACAGAGTCCCAAGCTGAAATGTGGTCGACGTTGTACATAGCAGTCACCAACTAATAGAAGAGCGAAACAATAAAAAAAAAATAGACAACAACAACATGCACACAGAGACCAATAAAACAATTGAGAAGCTGTAAAAACCACAACAAAGAAGAAGAGTTTTAAACTGGTTTTCAGCACAACATAACTGAAACAAGTTGGAGCTGTTTATTAAATGTTAACCTAACAGTCAACTGTTAACCGTTTGCAATTGGCATCCATTGGCCTGCTGCTGCTGCTGCATATGCTGCACCTGCAGATCGCGAAAAAATAAACACAAATATGCACCACACTCCTGGCCAGTTGAATAGGTTGGAGAGTGGAGAATATGTGAAATGCGATAAATACAGTGTTGATAGCCCATTTCAATCAACTATATTGCCCTTTACAGCAGTTGCAATTGTATATTGAATGTAAAGTATTTATCGAATTCTATTTACATACACGCAAATGCACATAATTTATTTATGTATATCTACAATAGTTATTTGTATATAATCCTTTTACTTGTATCACCAGCCAAACGAGTACGTAAAAACCAGTTTATGCCATAGACAAACCAGATTTCTTAACCGTTTCGATCGGAACGTGCTTCGCTTTGAATCGAGTCGAGCGCCCACTTGTTGCTGTTGCTGTTTGCTCCACGGTCGGCAAAAGTCAGTCTTAAGCCAGCTACCTGTGATTTCAGGTGTTGTAATTGTCGTGCGCGCTTGGCTCCCATCCACATTTTTTCACACACGAAATTCGCGTTTGAGCCACCAACACCAACACCACAAGCAGCAACAGGCTTAAATATGTGTGCACAATACGAAGTGTAAATAAAAGTAAATAAGCGGATAGCAAATCTATCGTATCTGCTACACTTCTGTGGCTTTTAATACGGCTAACAACACAAAAAACTTCATTCTACAGTTTTGTATTGCAAATGAAGTTGGTGTAACCATGTGTTCATTAGTGCAATAAATATTATTATCATTGCAGAAGTTGAAAAAGGTAATGAAAAATAAAAATAAAAATTCACATCTTCAAATCTATTAAATTACCGCTTATGCTAAAAAGTGTGCGCGAATGTGTGTGTGTGTGTGAAAATTATTGTGACTTGGATGAAAGCTGAGAATCTTGTTTTTTCGCCATCTTCAGAGATAACACTTTCTAACACTCAAATATACCTATGCGAGTGTTTGTGTGTGTGCGTGTATAGCTAAGATTGCGGATCTTCATGTGCGAGAAATGCAAAAACAAAAAAAGAGTCAAAAGTGAAATCCATAAGTATTTGTAAATGTTTACAGTTGGAATAAAACAAACAGATATTTACATGATAACTGTAAGATATATAGATGTGATGTATGCAACTTATAAAACAAACATGTCTCTATATAAAACACAATAAACCAAACATAGCTCAACTCAAATAGTGATCATATATGGAAATCATTAAAAAAGCAAATAAATACAGATGATATAAATGATGTCTGCTAATTATAAAACAAACATAGCTCTATATATGTCAAGAAATCGAGTTTTACTTATATATACCCTATATGCTACTCACAAGGCATGCCACACAAATTACAGCAAACAGATATGTAAATGATAACTGTAAGATATATAAAGCATAGAGATGATGTATGTAAATTATACAACAAACATGTCTTTATGTAAAAAATTACCATGTTTACTATTAAGCAAAGACGGTGTGCTAAACAAAGAAGATATAAGTTATGTCTGCTAATAATAAATCAAACGTGACTGTATATACTTTATATATACTCTATATGCTGAACTCTCGAAGTCTGCCAGATAAATGACGTTGGAAAACGTTTAAATTTTCCATCAATTACATTTGCCAGGATGTTTGCAGTCACTTTTTTTTGCTGTCGTGCTCGGCAGAAACATAGAGTTGAGAATTGACCCCAATAGTGTGTTGTGGCAGAGGAAAAGCATTATTATGTTGGGGTAAATGGCAAATGAGGTCACGTGTGCAGAGCGCGCGCGTTTGCAAATAAAATAAACTGCTGTCACAGGTACTCGTCGTCGTCGTCGTACACGTTGAGACAGACTTTGCTAGACGATGAAAATCAACTTGCCACACTACTTTTACTGCACGCAGCCGCAGCCACTGCCAGAGTCGCATTCACATCCACAGCCACAGCAGCTGTCGACAGTATTGAGTAGTTGTATTATTGTTTTTGTTTGGCGGATTTTTGTGTTGAGCAGGTTTTCAAAAGATTTGTTTTTTTTTTTCGCTTAACTGGTGTGGGTGTCTCTCTCTCCCTCTCTCTTTCTCTCTCTCTCTCTCTCTCTCTCTCTCTCTCTCTCTCTGTGTATTTTGAGTGTTTTATGCTCGGCCATCGTTTGGTTGGCAAAAGTGAAACTTAAATGTCTTCGAATCGTGCGAGAATCATTTATCGGTATGCAAATGTTTACTTTAACAAACCAAGTACCCGTTTGTTTTCTCGGTTAATGTACAATATTGTCCAGCATTGTACATGAAAATCTTTACTGTTATTTGCCCAAGAGAAACCAAGTGAAAGTTGTCCTTTATCCGGTGTGTATAGGGGCTGACTTGGAGCCGGTAAGAGAAAGACAGCTTGTTCATTTTTCAAAATTATTAAATGTTTACTCAGAAAATAAAAAATATAGTTTACGGTCTAATAAGTCATTGCGACATGAAGAAAAAACTCTTATATTATTTGATTTTATATATTTGATTTGTATTTCGAATTTGTTATAATATAAATTTAAAAAACTATTTTTTCCAACCTTTTGCTAATTTTCCAAATTAGAAACAAAGATTGGAAGAAAACGCGCAAAGAAAATCGCCAGCGTTTGATAGAAATCTATTTGTTTATTTATTTATATTTAGATATTAGATGTATATCTTTAAATGTTTCTTTTATAAAAACAAAAACTAATATTTGTATATAAAATTTGTTATAAAGTAGATTTAAAGTATTATATTCTCTACATTTTTGTTAATGCTTCCCATAATATAAACAAATAGACTTCCTTGTTTATTGCTGTATATAGAAACCCAATGTATACAGATAAATTGGCACACCTCGTTTTCAAGTTTCTAAAAATTTGCTGCCAACATTTTGCAGATAAGTTGTTTATAGAGCAAATTCAAGCTTTTTCCTGTAAGATTATGCTATCATTTTGTTGAGTGTACTCGTAAATATAATTGCATACATTTGTTTCTATGTATGCATCCGCTTACCACCAACTTTTTATATTCTTGGAGTGTTTGCATTTTCGATTGGTAATGCTGACTTGCGACAGTTCAGCAAATTTTCTGTTGAAATCAAGAATATGACACCATACGTAACAAAATGCGGTTGAGCATTTAATCAAACGAGTATATGAATGTGTGAGTGTATTAATATGTGAATATGTCCATATAGCGATTATTTAAATTGTGTCTCCAAAATGCGTTGGGCCTTGATGAAAACATTTTCGGTTTCACATCATTTAACCTTTGACATATTTACTGATTTACCGGTTTCTTGGCGCATCAAATATTTTGTTAAACGTGTCTGAAAAGAGGCACCCTATTGAAGAGCGTTAAAAAATTGTGTATTAAGCAAAAAATGACAGACGAAAAAGAATATGCAAGATTTCTGTTTAGGCTACATTGAAAAAATTGAAATCGAAATATTTGTGAATATGCACGTATTTTTGCCATTATTGCTTGCAATCATTTTGCTTGATAGCATATGCATTATATTGACTGCCAAGTATCTCTAGTTCAGTTGTATATAGCTCGTATATATAAGTAAAAACACTATAACTCACTCAAAATATGGAACAAATCTATTTTAATACTGAGAAATGCTCTAAAGCTAACCTATTGATATTATAATTATACCTTTTCCACCACTTGCTAGGTTGAATTTGCTCTAAAGGGAAAAATTTGCTTTGGCTCTTTTCAACGTACTACAGAATGATGTGATAATTATGCCTTTCCTCAACTTGCAAGTGGAAAAAAAGTGGAAAAACGTATGAAAAGTCTGTCGAATGATGTTCTAATTAGACCTTTTCCAGCACATGTTGATTGAATTTTCCTTATACTCCTTTTGGGTGCTCACTAATATCGTATAAACGAGCTTCCATAATAATTTGCTAGCTCTTACCGTTAAGGCTCAGACGTTGATCAGCAATTACTCATCAGCAATCAGTCAGTGTGTAGAAACTGTTTTATTTATGTAGAAGATGCTCGCTACTTAAATTACGAAAGAATGCATTAATTATTTTGCTCCCTATGGTCCAGAGCACACACCCATACACACACACACACGCAGGCATACAGGCATACATACATACATGCATAGCAGTATGTGTGAAGTTCAGAATACATATGCCAGACTTAGGCGAAAGATTACGTTCTTTATGTGGTCAGCTTAGTCAGGTCTTGTGTGTTGTTGGACTGTGTGCTGTGTGTGTTTGTTTTGTGTGTGTGCCGTGCAGTGTTCACGAATAACAGCAGGCAACAGCATCTTATCTTAGATTTCCGAAGGTCTATATATGGTCAGTACTAAAGTGGGCAACAAGAAAAACGCGTAGACAGCACCAAGATGGGTAAGTTAAATATTTATTGCATATTGATGTCAGGCCATTTAAGGTTCTGCCAGCCACCTTTGTGCATAAATAAATATACTACATACTTACAATTGATTTCTGATGCTTTATAAAGTTCAAGAACAATAGCTCAATTTTATTTGTTTGTTCAAAAGTTCACCTTCCCTCGATGACAGACCCTTGAGAAATTTGATTTATTTCGATTTATTTACGTACATTTGAATTGTGTTGGTAAATCTATATTATTTTCTTCTTATATGGTACAATAATATAAACTATATAATATTTATTTATATACGCAGAGCATTTGTGTATTTTTGTATATATAAGCTAAATACGCAAGTCTGTAAGTTTATGTATAGGGTATCTTATGGCCAGTAATTTTATCTTAAGCGTTTATCTAGCGCAAATGTAAATGTATTCAATAAATTAACTAAAATGCATTAAATCAATGGAAGCAATCATTTTTAAGTCCAGTTATTTGATGTTGTCTTTGCAGTTAAAATGACTTTCTACAGTGTGATGAGACCATTTGGACCCTGCTTTCTGGGGATTCTTCTAATGCTTGGCAGCTGTGAAGATGCAGTCGGTGTTCTAGGTAAATCACAAATGTGCGAAGTGGAAACTGGGCAAACAAACATTATACTGGATATTGAGGAGAGTCGAGGGAATTGTAAGTATTTTAGTATGAACATAAAGAATAAATAGGTAATTACGAATTCCCCAGTGAATTTCGCACAGTACGTCAAGCAAAAATATCCTTTAATGGCTATACACACTCTTCTCCATTGAAATGTGAGTTGAAGCAGGAAAGTGGAAATCAGAGCCGTAATATCGTCTCTCTTCTGTATTGTCTCTCTCTCCTTTCCTTCCCATTGAATGTGTTCACATTTTGCAATAATTGCAACGAACTTTCTAGATACTTGATTGCATCCATACACAAAGACTAGTTCGTATAAATACCTTAAGTCACTCCGCCAAAGAGAAAGGCTTATGTCGATACATATATACATATGTACGTACATAGGGGACTTCCATAGCTTCGAGTTGTCTTTGACATCTTTCTGACTCGGTTAAAAGGAAAAAACATTTGAGTTTCGAACTGCACTGATACTAATAAAATTCCAATTACCCGTTTTATTAATGAATGTATGTATCTGATCTATTCATACAGTAATTGGACAATCGACAACACCGGCTCAGCTGCCAATTTATGGGGATCCCTCCACGGAAATAGCGCTCGATCTAGTTTTTCCGAAGGGACATCCCACTTTCCAATTGGATGGAAAGAGTCTAAAGCTGCTTCAGCCGCTCGATCGTGATGAGGAGAACTTAAGTCACATTGTCTTCCAGGTGAGTCTAAATAAAAGTTAGGATACCTCCTAGCATCTGTCAAGGATTGTAGTAAACTGTTTCTGAAATTTTACTGAAAAACGTTGTTGAATTTTAAGAACATTGGATTGATCATAAATTGAATTGTTGGTATTTACCTTTAACTTGTTAAATAGAATCTGACTGAATGGAAGCATCTTGGAATAAATGTTAAGAGAGCTTTTTTCTTATACTCTGAACTAATTAAAAATGGATAAAAATCGTATAATGAATCTGCACAAGATAGGTAATAGGATGAGGAATTCATCTTCGATCCCATAAAGTATATACATATATCAGCATGAGCAGCCGCTTTGATATATCCATTTCACACGATCCGTCTGTCGGTTTGTCTGTCAGTATGAACTCGCAGATCTCAGAGACTATTGGAGTTAGATATTTCAAATTTGGAATATAGGTTTCAGTATTCTACCGGGAAGATCAAGTTAAATTAATTTTACCGATAGCCACCAAAGCGGCAATTTGGAAGGCAGGGCCTTCCAGTTGCTTAGAAGCGTTTTAAAAGAAAATTTGGCAATAAAACAAGAATTATATATTTTACAGCTGGGTTCAGAGTATCGCGGAGTCGAGCTCACTCGACTACAACATTCTTACATGTTTTATCTGAAGATTTTTGTTCTTGCTTGCGTGTGAAAATTAAATGCAATGATTTTTTGTTTTAGGTCTCGTGCACGATTCGGGAGACGAATAAGAAGAGAAACATTCCGCTTATTGTACGGGTGTCCGACGTCAATGACAATGCGCCGCAATTCATGAACACGCCGTATGAGGTCACTGTACCAGAGGTAAGTACACCGTGGAGTACTTAAGTGTAGCTACTAAAAATTAATAATAATAATAATAAATAATATAAGTAGTCTTGTCTGCTCATCCGTTATGTTTTCTTAAAATAAAAGAGTGTACAAATTAGTGAGGCTTAATTTTGTGCTAAGTCGTAATTCCGTCATTAATTTATAGTATATACTTACTATATACTGTGTTTTGTTTTGAGCTTTTTAATCAAAAATTGCGGACAAACTGGTTTCTACAGCCATATACAAGACCTTCTTGGGCATCTGCCAACTGAATCTTCTTCAGCGGTCTTAAAGAGAATATTTTGCTGCTTACTATATATTTATATACATATAAATATAGTATATATATATATATATATATATATACCATGCTATTGTGTTTTCTTGTCCGCTTTGCGTTTTTCCAGTTGCGTGTGCTGGGACCAAACAATGCCTGGAATAATTTATTTGCATTTTAATATGACAAACACAAGCTTGACATATTTGAACTGGATTTTACAAAGCCTCCGATTTTAACAGGTTAAATGCATTGACGCATACTTAGCATATTTATCTGGTTGAACAACATGCAATTGCTCCTTCTCAAAAGCGCATCAATCAAATCGTTCTTGTTTAATAATAGGCTCGTGCTCACGTTAGCGATTATCAACAAACATGAATGCATTAAGTTTTATTCATAAGCTATTATTTTCTTAATTGACATATTTAAAAAATGACGGTTATTTGGAATGACTACAATTCACTATTGGTGGTTCTGGATTATACTGCATTAAATCAATGAAAACCAACATTCTGACAATATTTAAGTTAAAATGGGAGCATTTTCTCATTATTGAAAAGTAAGCCCGACCATTAGCCACACAGATTTTCTACATAAGTACACAGGAGCATATAAACCACTAGTTAATATGTATAGTTATATGTATGTATTAATATGCATATAAAACACAAGTTGACATATGTTTTCCATTTTATGTCTATGGCGACAGACACACAAGTCGCCATGTTTTTTTTTTTATTGTCTACGGAGTAGACAAAAGGATTTCGTGATTGCGATAAATATCTCTACTAATACAAATAAACTTGCATTAATATGCATGTGTAAAATGCATAGAAAATAATCATTTCGAGCAATTCCAATGCATTGAAGATATTTATTCAGCGACCGCATATTGCTTCTTATTTTTATTTATTTTTTTTGCTAAACTTAAGCTCAGATATTTTCTGTTCCTTCAACCTGATTGCACAATGTGCAAAGTTCAACCAGCGCCAACAGAAGTAAAATATAAAAATCATTATTCTCTGTCGTTTGGTCTTTAGGTGAAGACCAACCAATGGATGGCTGTAACCTTACTTACACTCAGAAAAAAGATATCTACGATTTTCTAGATTCCCACTAAAATTGAATTTGCCAAGAAAAGCAGTGTCAAATTATTATTATTATAAAAGCTGCCATAAGCAATTCGAATTTCCGAATACTTGGCATCTTTTTTTTTTGGGAGGATCAAATCTGGTTCTTAATCGGATTAGAATATGAACCTTTTTGCAGATTTCATTAAAAAAAGTCGTGACCTACATGGATCTCAAATGTCAATCAAAATTTGTTCCTCTAATGTAAATTAGTCAAATTAATAAACAGGGTATACAAAGTATATACTGCACATGCATTGATGTGTTGCACCTTGCCACAAAATTGCATAAGACATGCCAACAATAACAATTGCGCCTATTTGTGGGCTGTTTGACTTGTACCGCTTTGCCATTTAATGTACATAAGAAGAGAAACCAATTGAAAAGTTCAACACAATGTCTAAGTAACTTCTCGCCCCAAGCCAGGCGACATGCGAATGTTAAACCAGTAACAACTAACCCTGAGGTAACAGGCACTTGTAAAACATACAACGAAAAAAAAAAGATGCTAACACACATACACATACAAGACACAATACAGACAAGCCCAAGTATATAGTGATAGTTAAATGTAAAAGGCTGTTCGCATTTTGTGCTTTTTGTTTGGCCGTTATATAACTGCACTTTTGGTGCATCTCTCTCTCTCAATGATGTTGGGCACGTTTTGTCACCCAGCTTGTTTCTGTTGTTCACCGGATTGCTGGCTATTTATGCTGGCTTCTGGCTGCTGTCTGCTGTCCGCTATCTGCAGTCTGCAGTCTGCTGGTTGGTGGTTGGTGGCTGCCCAAACCGTTTAACAACAATAGCGCTGCACAGTTGCACAGTTTGCTACCTAATTTTCATGAACATGCCATTTTTGGTTTCCGGTGCAACGTAGTTAGCATATTTTCACGGCACAGAACGGTAACAATCATTATCGTTATAATGTTTATACGTCAATAATTCAAATTTATAGTAGTGCATTTTTGGGCACAAGCGATATTATTTTTTTCTATCAATAGTTGAATTATCAGTGTATCCTTATATGCAGTTCATAAAAGGATTCTTCTTTTTTCAATAGTCAAATTATCAATTGACCTTTATATGCAGTTAACAGAAAGATAGTAGATGGTAGTAAAAGTATGTGACACACAGAAGGACGCATCTTCGATCCCATAAAAAATATATATTCTTAATCATGAGCAACAGCTGAGTCGATCTAGTTTGTCTATCCATCTAAATGAACAAGCAGATTTCAGCGTTTAAAAGAGCTAGAGACTTTAAATAAGAATTAAGTTCTCCCTTACCCCGCGCTAATCAAGTTAGTTTCATTGTAATGAATAACTGCCCCATTTCCTGAGTATCACATTTCCGATGGCAATAAAACCTAAAAATTTAAGAGGCAGAGGCTTCTAATTAATATGTATTTGCATACGAGTATTATTCATCGACTGGGGAAATTTCATTTAAGAACAGTCAAGAAACGTTCCGTGAAACGTCCAGTATATGACTCAAAATATATTCCGATATTGATTGAGATCAAAATTTGCTTACTTAAAAAATGTATCGATTTTTTATTACTTTGTTTTATTAATGATTATATATTATTTGCAACTTTTACAGAGCACTCCTTTGGGCACGACAGTTTTTCGGAATATACAGGCGGTCGATAAGGATGCCGGCGTTAATGGTCTAGTTGAGTATTTTATAGTTAAGGGCAATACCAATACTACCGAGGACGAGAAGTTAACTAGTGCCGATGGTTACGGATCTTTTGCCATATCATTTCCCCATCAGGGACAAGTGAGTAACACTCTAAAGATATTTAAGTTGTCAATTCTAATTCTTTACTCTATCCACACCATATTTAGGTCACAGTTGCAAAGACTTTGGATTATGAAAAGATACAACGCTATTATTTGACAATTGTCGCATCGGTGAGTAACATTTCAGGCTATACCGATTATTGCCCGAGTTATTTCCTGACCGTCTACTTATATAATTATTCGATTGCGTTATTTGGCATTTAAATTAATAGTTTTCAGTTAAGTTTTTAGAGCGTACAAATGTGTCATTAGTATAAGTTATTATTACGTTAATGAATAGTCTTGATTGATTCAATAACTCAACATTAGCGAACAAAACAATGGAAATATTTCTTAAACTTAAACTTAAAACTAAAAAGCATAAATAGCGCCAAAGTTAAAATTTGTTTAAACTATAATTAAAAGCATTTAGCGTGTAATGCGAATTAGGTTCGGAATTTCTCACTGTGCAATTATTAACAGAGGCAAATAATTATTCGTTGTTTATTAATTATTAATAACTATTTTAATATATATTTTTTCTCTTCTTTTTAAGGATCGAGCGCGAAGTGTTTCCGAGCGATTGTCTTCGACAGCGACCCTAACTGTAAATATAGCCGACTCCGATGACATGGATCCGTCCTTCATCTATCGGGGATGTGCGCTTCTCGATGGTGCCTGTATTAATCCCGAGTATACGGCATCGGTTCCGGCAGGATCGGTGCAAGGAGTGCTCAATGTGCTGCCTGAGCGAATACAGGCGGTGGATTTGGATACGATCAGTTCGCGTATACGATATAGTTTTGCCAGTGGAATGCCTGGCAACTATGCCGACTACTTTGAGATCGATGAGGAGACGGGTGTTTTGAAGCAGATCAAAGCTGTCGATACTTCGACGGCGAAACGATACGATATAATAGTTCGAGCTGAAGAGATCTCGCCGGCTCCGCGACGCTTCACAACAGCCAAGCTGACGATTGCTGTGAAGCCCGTAGATGCAAATCCACCAGTTATATCGTCCTCCGATATCGAGGGATATGTTGATGAGAATTCACCAATCGGTACGAAAGTTTTGGATGCGAATGGCAAACCAATTACATTTAGGACAACGGACGATGACTTGGGTGAGGATGATCCGAAGCCCGAGTACATTTACGAACTGACGACGCCATCATTTAATGTGACAAGCGATGGCATTTTGATTGTCTATGAGGAGGGCTTGGATCGGGATCCGCCAGCGCCGGGACGCTACAAGTTTCAGGTTGTCGCCCGAGAGCCCCGAACAAATGCGGCAAGTGCTCCTTTGAGTCTAACCGTACATTTGCGTGATGTTAACGATAATGCTCCTAAACTGGCGATGGTTGCTCCCATCTCAATTTCGGCTGGGGATCAACACGAGCAGCGACTGGTCACGCAAATGATGGCCACCGATATTGATGAGGGACCCAATGCCGTTGTCACCTACTCCATTTACCATGTCTCCAACAATGGCATGCAAAAGTTCAAGATCAACGAGCAGACCGGAGAGATCGAGACTCAAGGTCGTTTACTCGCTGGCGAACAATATAGTATAACGGTGCAGGCAAGCGATATCGGGGGACTCTCATCCCAGGCCATTGTGGAGGTGACTGTAACACCTGGACCAAATACGAAGCCACCACGATTCACCAATGTCCTTTATGAGGTGCAAGTTAGCGAGGGTGCAGAAATTAATTCCACAGTCACCGTCGTCCATGCCGATGATCCCGAAAATGATCCCGTCATCTACTCGATCATGTCCGGCAACGATCTCAGGCAATTCTCGGTGGGCCAACAGAGTGGTGTTATTATGGTCATACGGAAACTGGATCGTGAGAGTCTAACACGCTACCAACTAATTGTGAAGGCAGAAGATAATGGCGGTCTGTCGAGTACTGCCACAGTCAATATTAAAGTCACCGATATCAATGACAAAAATCCCGAATTCGATGAACTCAACCAGCCCTACGTTTTCCACGTGGATGAGGGTAAGGATGACGCCTTTGTCGGCATTGTGCACGCCACAGATGCGGATGAGGGTGTAAATGCGGAGATTACTTACTCCATACCAACAGATATACCGTTTGCCATCAACGGAAAATCGGGTGAGATTCGCACATCCAATGAGCTGGACTATGAGCGGGTGAATGAATACAAATTTGTGGTGACGGCCAAAGATGGGGCACCCGATGCACGGCTGGGTACGGCAAGTGTTACGGTGATTGTGCACGATCTGCCGGATGAGGTGCCCAAGTTCAATGATGCCCGCATTAATGTGCGAATACCAGAGAACCAGGCCGACTTCCTTGTGGCCACTGTGCAAGCCCACGATCCCGACACCATGCCAGAGATTACCTATGTGTTGCGCAAGGGTGATGAAGAGTTGTTCAAAGTTGCTTCCAAAACGGGCGAAATACGCACAACGAAGGGTCTGGATTACGAGAAGGAGCGACAACATGAGTTGCTCGTGGGCACAATTGAGAATGACGGTGAATCACCTGGTGACACTGTGCGTATTGTCGTCGAGGTCGAGGATCGCAACGATGTACGGCCCGTATTCATCACAGTACCGGGTCCGGTGACGGTGAACGATGATCAACCCATTGGATCGGTGATAGCGACTATGCCGGCAATCGATGCCGATGGCACCCCGCCCAACAATGTGATTCGATACGAGCTGGTTGGTCGCGGCAAGGCTCTGAAATACTTCCAAGTTGATCCCGATACGGGTGCAATACGCATTCGCGATGAGTTGCGTAAGCAAGAGGATACGGAATATCAGTTGGATATACGAGCCTACGATATGGGTGAGCCTCAGCTCAGCTCAGTGGCCATGCTGCCCGTGTTTGTACGCCATCTGCTGCTCGATCCCAGTGAGGAGACTTCAATCGAAAGCAAGATGAACACGGACAGTGGACTGATTGTCAGCTCAGAGACAGTCGGATTAGCGTTTAGCGATGACAGCTATGTCATCAGTGTGCCAGAATCAACAGTCGTGAACAGCACTTTGAAGCTCATTCAAATCATCAACTCCAAGAAACCATCCAAAGGGGCACCCAACTTCAAGTGCGAGTTCATCCAAGGAAATGAGCAGGGAGTCTTCGAACTGGGTCTCGAGGATTACGGCTGCTTGTTGGTCCTCGCCAAGCCATTGGATTATGAAAGTAAAGTCTCATATAATTTGGAGTTACGCTTAGCCTCCCAGCGCTATTTTGTGAGCCCGCGCAAGGATCGTACCACAGTCAACATCATGGTGCAGGATGAAAATGATAATCCACCTGAATTTGTCTTTAATCGCTTCCATGGCCAGAATGATACGTATTATGCCGTAATCACACCGGAAATGGACATTGATATGACCATTTTGCAAGTGAGGGCAACCGATCGCGATTCGGGTAAATTTGGATCATTGAGGTACAAGCTCTATGACGAAGAAGAGCCAAGCATCAAGGATGACCATCTGGTAAGTAGCAATGAGATTTGGCTAAACTTGCAGAGCACTTTGGGTCTTCATGCTACATGTGTAAGAATCTGATCACCATTTCATATAATCTGAACAAACTTACTAGTTGCGAGATCTATTATGTTCATATTTGCTCATATCTGCAAAAGTCTATTATATTATAGAATTCCGTTTCTTATCTTTATGTTAATAACATCGATTTGTACACGACTTTTGCAGCCATCGACATACTTTATGCTAACTGAGGATACAGGTATTTTACGTACGGCTAAGCTCTTTAATGATGCCAATTTTCCGATGATATTCTACGTGGAGGCCAGTGATAATGATGCCATCGAACAGGGATCACATCATACAAGGGCACGCATCGTTATCAATAGGTTAATGGATGTCAATCGTATGGCTCTGGCATTCACCAATGCGGCACCCAATAAGATACGAAACCATTATGCAGCACTGGAGGAGCTGATCGAGGAGACGACCAATGGATTGGTCAGTGGCATTGAAAGGATAAGCAATCGCAAATACTTAACGAGCAACGGCTCGGTCTTGGAGAATCCGGATGCTACCGATGTGTGGTTTTACCTTATCGATCCCAAATCGGAGACATTACTAAGTCGCAACGATAGTGTTGTCCAGGAGACGTTGTTAGAGTCGTCTGTTGCCTCGGCATTGAACTTGGCAGCTTCGGACTTGGCACATGCCAATGCAGATGGAATTCACGCACCAATCCAAGTGAAGGAACAGGTTCACAAGGTAAGCGTATTGTAGACAAAATTAAATATCTATACTAATACAAAAAATGCATTTCTAGGTCAAAACTGCTAGTAGCATCGATGACGAAGTTTTCTCCTTCACGCTTATTTCCATATCTATCATTATACTGGTTCTGGGCACCATCGGCATAATCTATATATGCATATCATGGTCCAAGTAAGTAATATTACAAAAGAATCGCACTGTAATTGCGTAGTAGATTCCTTAAATCTAAAATACATATTTTGTGTGCGGAATGATTAGAAAAACTTATAGTTAAAATTTGTTTACAATGTAAGAGAAGACATTACAGGCATAGAACATTTTTACTGCTCTTGGTCAACTATGAACAGTTAGCAACACCTTACAACATCTTTAGAAAATTTAATTCAATCTGAAATTGTGAAGATTATTGTTCTTGTAGTAGAACCATTTTGAAAAACATCCATGATTAATTATTTTTTCCACTTTTTCTCAGTTTTTTTTTAATTAACTGCCTGCAATCAACTAACTAATCGATTACTTTTCTACAACTTAGATATAAAAATTTCAAGGAACGCATTCGTCATTATTCGGCACCAAGTCCGACACGCTATGATCCTGTGATAGTCAACTCGCAAGCCTCGAATGTTGGCGATGCTGTAGCTAATTTAAAGGAGTACGAAACACAGATGCTTGCTATGGCTGTTCCCCCCGATGGTGATGAGGACTTGCAGCTGGATTTCAGTGCAAAGAATCACGCCTTTTCCCTAGATAATGTCAGCTATATAACGCACAAGCAGAATGGCGCCGGAGAAATGCAGTCGAGTCCCACGCAAATGGATGGCAATCTGAGCACAATTTCCACACTTCGCCATAACAATCTGAATAATCTAGCCAATAATATAAACAACAACAACAATTTGACGATGAACAATCGTCAGAATACTTTTAATCGCACACTGGAAATGAATTCGCGTAACAATGCCAATCCACTTGCCATTCCGGCGAACTGTACGCCCGGCACATTAACATTGGGGCGTATTAAGCACCATAATAGCAATAACTATCTGAACGATAGCTACAAATATGATGCATCGAGCCGAAATAATTTGGCCAATGCCAGTGCCCAAAACAATGGATTTAGCACGATGGGCAGGCGTGGCAACACCTTTGGCGGAATGGCATCCTTGAACGGTGCTGGAGAGCTCATGACCAACACTCTTGGTCGCAATAACCAGCAGAATAATCGTCTAAATGCTGACGAACTGCCCATTGCCAATCCGTTGTTCCAAAGGTAAGTTACTCTATTCAATTCAACATCTTTAAAAATGTAACAAGTAAAATATACCATTTGATTAATGCATTTCGCTCTTTCTTTCAGATCTAATGGTGATAGTCATAATCACAATATGAGTTTTACCAACGAAAATGTGATTTTTGCCAAGCGAGACTACGGCCAAATGAGCTTCTCCTATTTGAATGACTTGGATCGATCGGAGGTGGAGACGACAACGGAGCTATGAAGGATTAACTACTTACAATTTAGTATGAAATTTTGATGTATTTATTAATGTTGTATTTATCTGTACATACGATTTGTACGAGTAAGCAATTCTCGATTAAGGCATTTAAGTAGTTATAAATTCTCGAAAATTGCTCTTAGATTATTTGAAGTAATGTGCAGATGCCATTATAATGAGAATGTAATTCCAACAAGCTGTAAATATAATAAGCTGATAAGATTTAATTATTTTTTGTACATAAGCAGTAAGCAACTGCAGTCATTAGTTTCGTATAAGTAGTGGCATTTTAAAAACACATTGGGTATATACAAATAAATATATACATATTATGTACTAAGAAAAATGAGTTTATTTAGGATCATAAGTTTTGCAGGCCATAAATATATCTTTGATATCAAATTGAACTGAAGAAAATGCCTGTAAGCAATTTATATGTATCTACTTTTATAAGTAGTTAAATATGTTGAACAACAATTTATATGAAATATAATATATTAATATATAAAAAAATAATACAATTGTTTTGTTATCCAAAATAATATATATTTTGCAAAGCGTATTACAATTCTGTTGTGAAAGAGATGTCTCCGTTTATATACTCTTGATTATCATCACTTAATATAGCCATGTTCGCCCGTCAGTTTCTATGTAGTATTTGAAAGCTATCTTGATGAAACTTGGAATATAAACATCTTTTTACGGTAGGTAGCACATATGTCGGAGCTGTATTAAATCACTAACAACAACACCAACAAAATAGAAATAACGATTGAAAACGATTTTCAAAATCAATGCCTCGGATATGATTTCGCTTCTAGATTGGTACTGCATTTCAATTTAGAAACACGATTTTCCCTCGAATTTGAGTGTCCAATGCTTATAAGTATTTTTCTATTACTTTTGACGGTGAATAAATAAGTGAATTAAACCCAAGATTTTAAATACCTTCCGCTAAGTATTAAAAGTCCTTTCCTTTATGTGAAGTAACTTTCCTAATAATTTTTTTGTGGATTTCTGCTCTTTCCGACAGTTGGTCACATTATTTGCACATATTTAGTACAATCAATAAGCGAAAATTGGTTTGCATTTGTAAACCGGCGAAATGGCAAAATTGGATGAACGTATTGGCTTTATTGGAGGCGGAAGCATGGCATTCGCCATTGGTTCTGGCCTCATCAGTGGTGGCATTGTGAAGGCCAGCCAAGTTATGGTCTCCGGGCCCCACATTGAGAATCTGTCCCGTTGGCGTGATTTGGGCACTTCGATCACTGATGAAAACTACGATGTCATTGAACACACAGATATCATTTTTATTTGCGTCAAACCGCACGTGTTGGAGCCATGTGCAGCTCAGCTCAAATACAAACATGTTCCGTCTGCCAAAGATGCCAACAAACTGTTCGTCTCCGTGCTGGCCGGAACAACATTGAAAACGCTCGAGGAGAGATTCGCATTTATTGAGGGTTTGGGATTGAAAATGATCCGAACAATGCCGAATACATCGATGCAAGTGGGCGAAGGTTGTACGGTATACTCTGGCAACTCGCATGTCTCACATCAGGATCTAGAAAAGGTGCATCTAATGCTGAACTCCTTAGGATTGGCCCAACAAGTGCCCGAATCGATGATTGATGCAGTCACTGGCGTTACTGGCTGTGGTCCAGCTTTTGTATATACCATCATTGAGGCACTGGCCGATGGTGGCGTAAAACAAGGCGTTCCCCGACAGATGGCCATTCAGTTTGCCGCCCAGACATTGCTGGGAGCATCCAAAACGGTGCTGTTGACCGGCAAGCATCCGGCAGTACTACGTGATGAGGTTTGCTCACCAGGCGGATCAACAATTGTCGGCGTACACGAGCTGGAAAAGGGCAACCTCAGGTAATTGCTGGAAATCTCTCTCATCAAATGAGACAATAGAAATGAATTTTTCCTATTGTTTTTAGAGCGACTCTTATAAATGCTGTGGAAAAGTCTTCGTTGCGTTCAGCGGAGCTGGGTAAAAAGTAAAGTGACAATATCGATAAAGATGCTCATCGACAATTGAAGTTATATCTATATATCCATGACAAACAGTTCCATTAAAATATACCATATTCAATGATAATATTATTTATATTTATTCACGATCCTTCTTGCTGACATACTCAACACACTTGGATGGATCGGTGGGAAAGTATTCCTGGCATTTGGTCATCAAACGCTTCAGGCCCTGAATATATTTGCGTTGTGTTTCATCGTTCATCACATGAGCCACATTCTTGGAGAAGATCTTCTCGCGACCAGTTCTCGCGTGAATGCCCACCATGGTCACGCCAATGGGCCACGGAGCGTTGCCAATGGCCATTTCTAAGTAGGCATCACTCGCTGAGATGTAGTTGCGATTGAGCAGATGCTTGCATATATCCCGCAAGCTGTCCAAAATATCCTCGGGCAGCGTATGGTGCTTCAGTTTGCGAAACAATGGCTTCACATACTCCTTGGTCTGGGTGTAAATGACGCGAGCCATTTTCACCTTGGTCGACATTTTCTCGTGCTTGGTGTAGCTGGCAATCTGTGCGTTCCACAGCTTCAAGAGAAATGTGAGCAGTGTTATTATCACATCCATATCGTAATCCTTGTTGCGACCCATCTTCTGGGCCATTGTCTGTATGCTTTCCCATGAGATTGTCTCGTCCAGTTCGGCAAAATCAGATTTCTTATCTTCCTTCGCTGTGGGTGTGTTCGCAAACATCTCTTGCAGATACGCGGCATCCACTTGTTCCATTGCCTCCTGGAAATCATTGCGGAATCCACGATTCGCCTCCGGTTGTGAGATCTCACAGATGCGCAATCTATCAAATGCCTCCGGCTCTGTCTCACCAAAGAGCAGGACAGGCTCGCCACGCTCCCGCAGGCGACGTATGACCTCCAGGCGTGGCAGTATATTTTGGCCATCGGCCACAAAACTGTAGGCGCCCTCAGCTCGGGGCGAAACAATCAATTCCTGTTTTTTGTAGCCCACTTTTTGTAGCACTTCTTCGGTGTCCTTTGCACTGAGTTCGCCGCGGCGAAAATACTTTTTCTTTTCGTCAATCAGTTGCTTCTCCTCAAGTAATTTACGCTTGCGCGCAATTTCCGCTTTTAATATATCCATTTTGTGTTGTTGATGTTATTGTAATTATTACGATTATTGTGCACAACAAACAATACAACCGAGAAGTAATTTCGAGTATGACCAAAATACTGAATCACATTTTAATACCAAACTTGAGGAGAGATTTAGTATGACCGTTTTTTAATACTAAGAGGGACAAGAATTAGTTCAGCCCTGGTTATCATATGTTAACAAAATTTTGTCGTACTTAAAAGAAAAATCACATCCACCTACACTGGCCAATATAGCTTTTGTAAACATACAAAAAGACAAAACAACAACAATACACAATGCCAAAGAAAATGGGTATAAATTCGAAAGCAGCCGAGGCCCGCGAACGCATCAGCGCCAACAAAAAGGCGACCCAGGAGCGCAGTGTGAAAGAAGCGGAAGATCGTTTATGGCGAGACGATGACAAGAATTTGGCCAAGAAGCAACAGCGACGCGAAGAAGAAGAAAAGAAACGAGCGGAAACAGCGCGACGCAAAGCGGAATCGAAGGCTTTGCTGGATGAGGAGGTGAGCGCGATAAGCACACAACGCAAGCAGCCGTTGGCCAAGATAAATCGTCAGCAGATCCTGGAGGAAATGAGTCGAAAACAGCGCGTCCTCGAGGCCATCAATGAAGCCAACAAGCCACCGCCAACGCGAGTCGTCGTCCAGCAGAATGTCATCGAGGAGAATTTAAATCGATCTCTGGCTGATACGATGGTTGCCACAAATGTTGATCAGGCCCTGGCTGTACTTACGTGAGTGCCACCAAAAATCCTATTCCATATTTTAATTAATTTGTTAATTTTGATTTTTGATTTCAAGTGTCAATGACAACGAGGACGATAAGCATCCAGAGAAACGTATGCGGGCAGCCTATAAAACATTCGAAGCAAATAATATGCCACGCATTAAAGCTGAGAATCCTTCATTGCGTATGTCTCAGTGGAAGCAAATGTTAATGAAGGAATGGAACAAGTCTCCCGATAATCCTTTTAATCAGTAACTTGAGAATTTGTCGTCGCCGGCTGGAAATCTCAACTGCGTAGCAGTCGATGCCAGCACCCCCATTAACTGGAGAAAATAGAGAAAAAAACAAAACAATTTTGAAATTGTTCTTTAATTTATGCTTAATTTAATTGTAGAATTGAAAATATATTTACCAATCTTATTTATTATTCGGTTGATTCTATGGTCTTATTAATTTATCTTATCTTTATCTTTATCTTTGTTTTTTTTTTTTTTTAATGTGTCTCGATCTTGAACAAATTTTCTTCCATGTACATTTATTGGGCCAGGGAAGATTACAGCAAAACGAACTATTTCTGAAAAGATATCCAGTCTCATTCAAATTCGAGTCAGAGTTCATACTCATGGAAAACCAGCCAAACGAAGCAAACCGAACCGTTAACTATTTATTTTCTTTGGATGCGGCGACTTGATCATTACGAAGAAATTGTCGGCATGTAAGACGTCAATTATATTTCCATTTATTGCCAAAATACTAATGTACATAAGTGTTGCGCAATAAACAGCAAACACACAAACAAAGCTTATATACCTTTATTGCACCCATGTGTGTAAATAAGTGTGTATGAAATGTGTACATTAACTTGTAATAAAGAGAGGCATAATTGACGACCGCTTTTCTTTGCCCATTAAATTGTCAATTTTTTGTTTGTTAAATTATTATTATTTTTTTTTTTTTGCTCATAACTAGTTCCGGTTGCGTACTTTTAATATGATATAAATGTACTATATATTTTTTTTAAACCTCTCATTTCGCTTTCACCATATATGAAACTTATTTTTTTATGCACTTAACTTAAATATTTTCCAAATGACTTGCGAATCATGCTAAATGGAAATTTTTGTAATTAGAATTCTCGCAACTTTATGACAAATCGAGATATTCCTTAATATATAAATTATTATTAAACTTTTCAATTTAATATAATTTTTTAGATCAGATTAAATATTTGTATTTATTTAATTCGCAATAAAAACTGTTATATACAAAAAAAACAATGTTGTGTGAATAAAGTCCACAAGAGCTGAGCTTAACAGCAACAGTTTTAACAGATTATGTTAACCAGGCAGCTGGCGCGCACACACAGCTCATCGAGCCATTCATTTGGATGTGCTTTCTTTTTTAATAAAAATTTCTTTAGACGCATCGGTGCTTCATTCTTCATTCAGTGCGAGACCGTTAACAGTAACAGACGCGTCGTGTTTGACCAACGTGTGCAAGAGAAATGTAAAACTTGAAAACCAATACAATATTGAAATTGTTGTTGTTAGATGTTGTTATATGTTGAGTGTGTGTGTCGAGTTCAACTAAATAAAAAAAAGAAAATTAACAGTCGGTAGCGACGAAAGACGCAAAGACGTGCTTGGGAAATTAATGAAATTTCGTATACCGTCGCCATCGGAAATCGCAAACGGTAATTGTGACCTCTCTCGCTCTGTCGTTTTGTTTTTATTTATCGCTCGGTCAGCGAGTTCGAATCGCGTGAGGATTTTCGGCGATATATCACATATTATATATATGCATATAATAAAGGATTGCCAACAATTCAGAAACCCAATAATTGGTTTTGTGAAATCTTTAAGTCCAAAGTTATTGGTTACGTTTGGAAATTCATTTTACAGTTATATCTACATATATATGTAATTAGTATTCTGTATGCCATTTTGTGCAAGCGACAATGCTTTGCATTATCCAAGTTTGTGTCTTAAGTCTTTTGTTTTATACCCTATAAAAGTAGAAATGTAAATTGAAATTTTACATTTACATGTACTTATGTAATGGAATATACGTAACATATCAATCTACTTCATTCATTGGAAAATATTGACTATTTACAATTGCAATTCTAACTGTCCTTATCAGTAGCTTACAACATTCTGTTTATATATATCGATTTTAATACGTATTTTCATTAGTAAATTAGGCTTTGTATGTACATTAATGAGCATAAGTGGCTACTTACATGTATATGTTGTATTTATATATACATTAGTTGCGGCTTTCATCTAGAAATGGTCTGTTTTTCTTGTTGATTACTTTTATTACCACTTTTTGTTTTTGTTTTTTTTTTGTTGCTGTACCTTTTGACACACATTCGTATGAATCTAGAACTTGTATCTTTTTTTATTGTATTATTTGTACTACCGCTTTAGTTGACTATGAATGCGAACAACATGTTAATTTCTTGGCCCTAATTTTCTCATTTAACCTTAGATATACAATGTACACACATAAATACATTTCATACGTACAAATGATCAAGTTATTATGTCTGCCTGCAATTAATCACGAATTCTCAAACTCACGAGTCTTATGCAAAATAACTAAAGATTGCGTGTTTGCTTTTTCTTTGGTAATACACAACATCTATACACATTACTGTGTGTGTGTGTGTGTTAGCGCATCCAAAGTTAGTTGTTTATACTATTTTGTCCGTTAAATATTATGTACATTTTGTGGCACACACATTTATAAAGCAAGCAAAGCACTTTGATTTTGTAAATCAGGTAAATGGACCATTGAGTCTATTGTCTATTGACTTAAATCCATTGCAGATAAAGTAAAACTTAAACAGTCAACGAACCTTCTATAATATTATGGCACGCACGAGCGCATTTATATCAAGTGCACTTCTGCTATTTATCAGCCACGCAACTTTTTCAATGCGCCAAATAATCAAGGGACCATAAAAATGTACGTAAGCGTTTTAAATCTATTAGATTGTTAATAAGCAATCCATATACACGATGGTTAAAATTCTTACTAAAAATGAGACAAGAATCCTAAGAGAAAATCAAATATTTTTATCGAATCGATTGAAGCAATTAATATTCATATCCATTTTGAAAAGACGCTGTAGACTAAGACGTCACTTAGCTTAGTAAGCTTTAATCGAATAAGAGGAGGATCCACTAGATTACATGTCTTAAGCTCGGAACACAGAGAAACTCTCAACACGACAAAAATTCTTTAACTCGTAAATCAACCTTGACTATAGAGCTATAAACTTAGAAGGAGGCACAATGGATCAAACCAGATCGCAGTAAATGCAACACCTCAATAATAAATAAATAAATGATCCTATTTCGATTGGTATTAAACTGATAGCTTCAATCTTATTAACAATCATACTTAATTCAATGCCAAAAACGTTTAAGTTCTTCATCATATGGACATTCTCTCATTTTTATTCAGCATAGTTGTCGTTTTCACCAGCTGGCTTTTATGTGAGAGTCGTGTGTCGTGTGTTGTCCACTAATAATAGTGTTGGTATAGCATATAAATACTTACTTTCATGCAAGTGCATAATTTCTGTATTACTTGCCGTTTATCAACAGCCACACGAACTTTATTTGACTCTTCAGAAAGCTAAAGACAATTTCACTGTTTCTTTTGCATTGTTTGTGGCGATATTAAAGGAAAAGCACAGCCAAACAGCACACACTGCTACCTTATATATATATATATATACATATATATATATATATATTTAGCAAAAAGTGTCAATACTTTTCATTTTGCTTAGTGGGCTAATGCATTTCTGAATGCAAATTAACTGACCTATTCGTAACATTCCTTTGCAGAGAAAACACTGTGGTTTAAATTCGGCTATATATATAAATATATATATATATATATATGATTATATATATGAATAGTACACATTTTCTTGCTTTTTATAGATCATAGGATTTGAGGGGTAATAATGATTCACAGTGCTTTCCCAAACCAATTTTATGAAATTCCAATCAACAAACTGAAACTTGCTGTTGAACAACCACAACAAGGCATCATCATCATCTTGATATATGTACTATGTATGTATATATGTGTATACATATATGTATATGTGTGTGTGCGTCTGCCTGTTCGTGTTTGTGTGTGTATTTGTATATCTTTATGTAAATTTGAGTGGTCGAAGCCGATTACGCACCTTAAAAAGTGAAATTTTTGCCATTGTTTTATTTGGCTTTCTGTTTCTTTTTTGTGAAGTTTATCATTTTGCAAAAATTTAAAAAACTGATTTTACGGTATTTAGTAAAAGTAACTATACTTTCAATTAGGAAGGAAATGCTCAGGCAGAATAAATATGCTTTAATTAGAAGTTTAACAATCAGAAGAACCTACTCTATTTGTACATATTTTCTATGAAAGAAATAATTTGTTCACAATTTAAACAAATAAATAAAATCACCTATTGCGGGGCTTAGGAAAAATAACTAACTAACGAATCAATTAGAAACCAAATGTGCATAACGAATATCGGCTTTGGCCGTAAAGCGAATTGATTGAAAATAGTTTTCTGTTGTACAAAAAACGTTTACAACCGAGTATGAATAATATACAGTATTGACATTATAAAATAATGTAATAAGATGATGTAGCATTTTCATAAAATTACGAAATTAACTTTGACAATCGGTCGAAAATTTGTCAGCTTACACAAAACAACATTTTTCACAATCAGAAGAATAATTTATTATTATTTCTATGAAACACACCTGGTGCCACAAGTCAATGAAGTGTGTTTATTTGACCACACTTAAATTACCAAATTACCAAAAAAAAAACAAATGTATGTACCAAAAGATAATAAACATAACAAATCACACAAAAATAGCCTAACAAAATGCATGTGTAATCATTTTTGAATAGCCCGTTGGCCAGACTGTAAGCCAGGCCCAAACACATCTGTTGGGCCATCTACACATTCCATTCTCAAAAGTCACAAATGGTGGTGGTTTTGTGGCAGGCAATGCAGGCAGTACTTGGACATGAACGAGGTCAGCTCTTCTAATGACTAAGACACTGGATGCTATATGGTTTTTGTTTCAGTTTCAATTTGGGGCTAAGTCTGCACGTGTTAAATTCAAAAATATATATATTGTTATATGGATCGTGTTATAAGCAGAACCAAAATAAATTTCACTGATTTTCATTCCGTTTTTTTTTAATGTATCTTGCCGCTCTGTCTTCGCCACTTAGTGTTGGCTTCACTGTGAAATAAAAATTGTTTGGTTTTGTTGTTGTTTTTGTTGCTTGTGGTTAAAGTTGAGCATAAAGTCGTTGTGTTTGTGTGTGTGTGAGTGTTTGTGTGTATGCGCGCCGACTCCGACGTCAGAAGTTGAGCGAGAAATTTTTGACTGTCAAAAGTGAAAGTTGCAGCTGCAGCCAATGCCGTTGAAAGAAATGTAGAAAAGCGGTAGCTGGCTAGCTGGGTAGCTGGGTAGCTGAAGCCCCGCCCGATGAATCAACTTACAACACTACGCAATAATGGTAGAAGCGACAGTATAAAGTTGAGTCTTGCGAAGCGCCTTTGAATTTTTAAGCTGTGCAATTAAACTCTAGACTCATTTAAGACACCAAATTTTCGTTATTATGTTTTGTGTCTCATATTTAACTTATTATAGATATTATATCTCTATGAGATATTTTATTTGAGCAAACACAAATAAACACAACAGCAGCTGATTGCATGTGGCTTATAATTAACTTGAATGGATTTCTTAAATACAGTTTTTAGTTTTTTTTTAGCAGAGCACATAAAAAAAAAAGCAAAAAAATTTTAATAAGTGCAATATGTAATATTATGAATTAACATCGTTTCGGCAAATGCCACTAAATAAAAAGTGTGTCAATGCTTAACAGAGTTCAATAAACTCTGCGTCCATAAACAAAAACAAATAAACAGTAGAGAGCGAGCAATGCCAAGGCAAGTTGGCCATAACTCTCTTTTAATATTTAAATTTAATTAAATTAGCACTTTCTACACGACTTGCTCTGCTGCGACGACCATTGGCGGTATCAAATTTTCTCGGTGGTTCATATTGAATAATAATTTTGAGCAATTAGCACAGTGACCCAAATGCCTTTATTAAGAGAGCAAAATAACTTTGAGCATTTAAGGCAACGGAAGCAAGACTATCACTAAATCAATATGCATAAAATTATGTCCAAACATAAATCATAAAAGAAAAAGAAAAGTCAATTGCACACACACACACATACACTAACACACACGTACTAGGTTATATAAATAGGCACAAGTTTGTGTCTGAAGTCTTTCGTTTTGCACCCTAGAACTGAGAAATGCGCACTGGTCTTGAGCGAGGAATTTGAGCTGCCTTATTGACAGGTTTTTCGTGTTTAACTTAAAACAAAATCGAACACATTGGCTTCATTTCTTGCTCTGTTCATATTTCGCATATCCTATACACCTGAAAATTGCTAAAGGGAGTATCGTTAACATTAAGCCGATTCAGATTTATTAAAGAGTAGAATAACTATTTTAAGAAACCAATAAGCGTTAAATATCAATCCCCGATAAATATATTTTAATATTCTACTTACTTCCTTAAATAATAATTACTTTAGCAATTAATACCAATGTATCAACAAACAAATTAAAGACAAGATATATTTTATTATAAATCAAAAATTAATTACAATTATGAAAATTTAAATGCCTTGTAGCTTGGACTTAGTTACAGGGTATTTACTAGTCGGTTAAAATGCCGCCTTTGTTGTTTGTTGTCCACGGAATTATCGATGGTGCGTAGCAAAAATTGTCAAGTAAACAAGTTTCCTAAAATATGACCCATTTACCCAGTTAACCAGTGCTTGGATCTGTCATATTCAGGTATTTGTGGCGCTTAAATGCAAATAGCTGCTACTTACTTAGTTATCTGAGTTTCGATTGTCAGCACAAGAAACTTGTTTAATGCCCAATTATTCGACGACACGCTCTTTGAGAATAATTGACAATTCGTTTGACAATTTAAATGAAAGTTGATTGCTATCTCCACGCACCACTTGCACCACTTGCTGCACCACTTGCACTCGCTCAAAGCAGCCGCAGCAGCAGCAATAAAACTAGTCGCTGCTCAACGGACATGCAGAGCGAACGATTGTGGTAATGAGTTTGTCATTGATAATTGCCAATTCACAATTCACAACTGTCTTGCCATAAATATTTCTTGGCTCTTAAGAGCAAATCTTGACTAATTGAGAGACATTACTGTTGTGAAGAACTATTAAGTGATATAAGTTATAAAAACAAAAACCCCCATATATGTAATATAGTAATGGATATACTAGTCGGAATCTATATATATATATATATATTTTTTTTTGTAGTCGTATATGGGTGTAGTGTATAATAACGAGTTCAGCATCATCTATTTTAAAAATGTTCAATTTTTCTTTTATTTGTTGACTGTTTGTTTTGATGAAAAGCAAAACATGAAGTCGCTCCTCAATACTGCGAGTGCCAGCACCAAATTTGGATAGCTCCAGTTGAATTGGCATCAAAGCTACTTACTAAAGTTGTAATCGCTATGCTAAGGGGTATCATCATCATGATCATCATCACGATATACATATGTATGTACAAACATATGTGTTGACAACGAGGCGACATGGAACTGACATATTATGTGTTTGACAAAGACGAGCATTTATTGTTCATGTCCAAGGAATATATCGTATACGACTGCTGTAACTAAAGCTTATGTATTAGTATATAAGTAAAATTCCGGTATGCATTTTGAGAGTCTGTCATCAATCATTCAGTCCAAGGGTGTCCCTCCTAGATCTTATCATTGCAAACACTCAGAAAAAATTATTTTCGCTTTGAGGAGATTTCCGGAGTGTAGACACAAAGTGATTTAGATTAAAATATATGAGAAAATTATAATTAGGTACGCTATAGAGCCAGTAATTAATGTAGATTTCAAAGTACATTTGATAGAGTAATTAAGATTAAAAAAATGGTTCTTTCAGATCAAATAGTTTTTTAATACATTTTTATATATTTCGTTCTGTGCAGCTACTAAAAACATCCGCAATATGGGAGCCTACCAGCTGGCTATCGCTGGGCTGCTCATGCTGGTATGCAGAATAAGTGAAGCCACGATATCCGATCAGACATCCTCGGCGCTGTTGCCATTGGAGGCGCGCAACGTGGACTCTTCCGGCGAGGAGGATGTAATCTCCAATAGTTATGTGCTGCCAAATCAGATCTTTAACGATGGCAAACCCTATTATGCGCGTCAAGATCCCGTCTCGGGTCAATTGGATTTCACGGCCAAGAAACCGGCGGGCATTGAGCCGGAGGTCAACGAGGTGCTCAACTCCAAAGAGAAGATTGTGCTTAGCAGCAGCTCAACTCCAAACATTCACGACTTTCTCAATCTGCCCGTCAAGTACTCGTCATCGAAGTTTGTGTACCCATTGGTGTCCAGTTCGTATGCCAATTTGAAGTATCAAGGCAGCAATAAGAACTACATTACGAACAAGAAACCCACTATGGTGGTAGCACCGGTTACTCCAGTGGTATCCAACAATTATTACACGGTGACCACAACCAAACTGACTGCAGTCCCACCAACCGAAGCGGGTTACTATTCGAGTACAAAGAAAGTACCAACAAGGACAAGTGCAGCTACCAGCACCAGCACATTGTCAACCACAATCCGGACGACACCAACAACTACAACCACATCAACAACAACAACAACAAGACAAACAACAACAGGACGAACAACGACCACACGTCGTCCTTTCATTCAAGCGATATCCACAACGCCGCAACCCATACGAACAACTACGACACGAAAGAAGTTCATGCCGATTAGGAAACAAACCATACAAACTACGACAACGGCGAGGATAACGGAGCAAACGGCTCCCTCCAAACAGCCAACAACGCCCAAACAGCAACCGAAGCCCACCCAAAGTAGCAGTGATGTCAAGTTTACCACCCATCATCCGACACCATCGGCAGACATCTTTCCCACAGAGCCAACGACAACGACGAAAATGTATTCAACACCTAGGAATGACATGATTGCCTCTGGTCCCACAACGCCCCGAATCTTAACCACCCCGCATCTTAAACTGAATGCCACCAAAATACCAAATCTAGACCCAGCGGATGTCTATTACACGCTGGGACAAAAGAACACAAAGGCCGAGCAGGAGCAGCAGTCGGCTGCCAATAAGAAGCCAACAATGACATTAAGCGATATTTTCAACAATCTGGCCGAGGAGGAGAATGCGGTGGCCAACAACTATCAGCAGAATCAGGGCTTTGATGCCCAGGGTAATCTCATTGAGCCGATAGCACCCTCCCAGCCATCGCCGTTTGCTATGCAACAGCCCCACTCACAGCAGACTCGTCCGATGACAATGCATCAGAATCAGAATCAGCAGCTTTCACCTGGATTACATTCGGGTCCGCCAACACCAACACACTACCCAAATCCAAATCCCAATGAGCAGAAGGTAACCGCGGGTAGCCTGGAGAACTATGGCAATCAGTATGTGTCGTACCAGGTGCAGCAACCGAATGTGATGCAGTATCGACCCATACCGGGTCAAATTAACAATGTGGTCATCTCACCTGGACAGCAATCCGCCTCGTTTGTACTGGGTAGTCAACAGCAAGTGAGTCACAGTCATCCTGGCAATTTTGGCAATGTGGAGAAGGACACGGGACCTTTTCCGCAGGAAACGGCCGGCGTGCAGTACGGTCAGGTCATTAATGAGGAGATCAACATTAAGCGTCCACAGCCTCCCACACAACAACAACAGCACCAACAACAGCAGCAACAACAATTCCCATCGCCACATCAACCAACTCCACCAAGCAACCAACAACAGATGCCCAATTATCAGTCCAATATTAAATATCAATCTGTTGCACCTGTCGCGTCTGAGGCAACTGTAGTCGGTACTGTGTTAGGAACCGGCATTGGAGTTGCTCCTGGTAGTTACCCAGAACCACCACCGGAAGCACCTTCGCCATATCAACAACTACCGTTGATTGGTTCCAATTCACGTCCAGCACAAAAACAATCAACTAGCCATCCAAATGCCCATCAAAAGATGCATCCCACTTTAGCAGCCCAAAGTGAGCCAACAGACAAGGACACCAAGGAATTGTTGGTATCCAGCAATATACGCTTTCCATCCAAGCAAGAGGATTCTCTGGAATTGGCCTCGACTATGGTTGCTTCAGGTCCACCGACTTCCGCCCATATCAATGGACATGCACAGCCGTTGAGTCTGCAGCAGATCCAGAACGCCAATCCTGTGGTGTTTCCCAAGCTCAGTGACGATGAGGGTGTTCAGATTCAACAGCACGAAGTAGTCAACCTGAAACAGCACGAGCAGCACTTGGTAAACTATCAAACTTATCGATCTTAATCGATGTCGATCTACGTAAACTTTTTGACTCACTTCGATTTCTTTCACTTTTGTAGAAGTTCCCAACTCAACAACTGATCAACAATGAACAATTGGCTCAATCACCTTCCAGGGATATGGAACCACCACCACGTTATGCTCCATTGCATAATCCATCCCAGGCACCATCGGCTCCGGGTAAACCTTTCTACATGGAATTCGATCGCAAGTCTCAGCATCCACCTGGTCCACGTCCCAACGTAAATCTGCCTAATATTTTGCCACAATTCCGGCCCAATGCCAAAATCTCCGCTGGTCATGGACATGGCCACCTAAAACCGGAGCCTGGAAACATACGTCTGCCCATGCAGGGAGGCAAACTACCATATAATCCTTCAACTCCCCCACAATTTGCGAACAGACGCCAGCCGTTGCAACAGCAATATTTGCAGAAACGTTATCCTCTAAATCGAATGGCAGAATATGAACATGGGCCTCCCGTCAACAGACGTGTCTACCGCGTACCCCCGAATAATGGCCAAAGGCTCCCTCAGCTGAGGGATCGCATGTATCCTCGTCGCCCCCAGGGTCCCATGCGTCCAATTGATAACTACTATCCAGTTGAGCGGAATGCCCCAATTGCACCAGAGGCAGCCAAACTGGTTAGTGCTGATCTAAGTGATTTTGAGGAGGAGGATTTGGTTATTAATGATCCACCACAGGCACCCACCAAAGATATGGCAAATAGTCCAAATGACTCCAAGCTGGAGGCAGTAATAACACTGCAAATGCTGCAGTCGCAAAAGAAAATTAATAACGGTGAAGACACTGGAGCCGGCGAAATCCAAGTAACAGCCGATAATGATCCACAAGAGGCAAACGATCAAAAGTCCGATCCAAATAATATATACGCAGTGTATGCCTCAAAAGCTGACACCATGTTGCAAACGAATACCGATGGACCGTCTGGAGTGGAATATCAGAATACACCCTTCTCCGTGATACGCGATCAGCCCCAAGAGCCTATTTTAAAGAACAAGAAACCGCAATCGTTGCAACAGCAATCAAAAATGCAACCACTACACAAGCAAAAGTTTCCGTATCCGATCGAGAAACCAGATCCATCCTACACTGAACTGCAACAGTCAGCTGTAAGTGTACCCGGTGTCCTGATTGCGCCACGTATTATCAACAGTGCCATGAATACTGGCACAGAAGCACCAATTGCGATTGCCTATACACCTACCGAACCGAACCCCTTCTCAAGAAACGGTCCCGCGAAACAGGAACCGCATCATTTGAACAAACCGAATGCAGCTGAGACACAAACCGAGGAAGTGATGGGCATTGATTTTGATTTACGTGGCCACAACTATGAGAAGAACTTTATGGCACCGTTTTATCCCAGCGTCAGCTTGGGTGGCGCCAGTGGTGCTGGTGGTGTGACCAATAATCCACCGTTAACCAACTGGAAAATTGTGCCATCTGCCTCCAATCAACAATTGTACGAGAAGAATAATATAAATCGTGCCGATGTTGACAGATCTGCGATAGATCAAAAGAAAATTGAATCGAAGAATTCGACTACGGAAAAGTATTCCGAATTGGATCATTTCCAGCCGGAATTACAGGGCGGTTTCCGGCCAATCTATCCAGCTGACTATATGCACTTGCAGGAGCAACAGCAGGAGACTACTTTGAGCAACGAAAGAAATAAGCCACTGGCTCTGGCACTGGTGGGATCACTGACTACACAAACACCCCAAACTGTGACTTCAGTTGGGACGACACCTAACCCGGGACCATTGGGTGGTACCCCAAAGACCACTGTAACGTCAACAACGACAGCGAAAACCACTGCTGACGTACAGCTGAAAAGTGAGGCTCAAAGTACAACAACAACAACAAAATCGCCAGTTAACCAGCTAAGACCGACAGCAGCCAAAAAGTCGACATTTGAAACGAGTCTGGCTGCTCTACTTTTCGGCGATGATGATGAATATGAAGACGGTGCTCGGAAGTCCGTTCAGAATCCGAAGCCCGCCCCGAGGCCCATAAATGTGGCACGTATGGGACCGCGTAGTCTATTTGCCAGATAACTGCTTTAGGCACTATTTGATTTTCTTAGCAGCATTTTAGATTGTATTATTTATTTGAAAAAAAAAAACATAAAAACAAAAAAAAAACTAAGATGTGTATAAGACTTGTAAACGAATCATGTAATAATTGCGTTATTGCAGCTAATCTTTAGTCGTAAGCGGACAGACATGCTTGACGCTAGCCACCAATGAATGAACTTACACCTAAGACTTTTGTGAGTCTGATTTGAAATACATAAGAATTTCTTGTATGTTTTCTTATTGGACTCCCGAATCGTCGCTAAATAATCAAGAAGCATGTATTCAAATCTACGTACAAACCTCTTCTACAATATCTACCGAACACGCATACATATTTATTTTACTTATACATATAATAATAATAAAAGTCGGCAAATCAATTTGCAAATCAATCGAAACAGTTTCTTTTGGCAATATGGTTCTTCAACTTTCCAAATTAGCAATATCTCTAGAGAATGTTGCACTCAAAATGATGACACAAAAGTTGTAAAAAAAAAACGATCGAAAATTTAAATCTGTAAGCCGAAATTATTGTTTGAAGCACCTTTTTAGTCAACATTTAAAAAAAAAATGGTGGTCGTAAAACAAGTCCAGATAGTTCGCAATTTTGATTACTTGAAAGCAAATTTTTTCTTATCCCAAATGCTCAATTATTTAAACAATAAAACTGATAAAACAATAAAAATATAAACAAGAATTTCTGTACTTGTGTTGTTAAATTAACGATTGATTTTTAAACATATATAGAGATACTTAATTCAATAACAAAATAAGCTCAAATTATATGAATAAATGAGTAGGAATTGGAAACCGGCTGTACTTGAATTTAGTATACCGTTTTTATCTGAGTGTAGATGAATAACAAAAACCGTACCCATTTTATGTTTAAAATACATATTTATTATAAAACTCGGTAATGGATATCTCCACATTTGGAGCGTGCTCACAATCGTATTTGAATATGTTTATGATGGACACGATTTTGGGAAACCAAAAGTCTGTTAAAATGCCCATATTAATGATGAATGAATTATACTTAATTGTAGTGCTAATGCAATGTTAATATAATACTTGAGTGTTACCATTAAACAGTTGACATAAATAAAATATTTAACAATGGAAATTAACGTGCAATTTGTGGTTTTCTTTGATGATTTGAAGGGTTTAATTGTTAAATTTAGTTCAAGACGCATATATACAACTTATACCAGTACTTAAATATATATATGAACAGCATTAAGTGGCTTCAATAAAGAACCAACTGCAACCAATTTGCAAATTTTGACTCAGTCTTAGCTGTGCTTTTCAATTTATACAAGATGCTTTGTTATTGGAAACTCGATGATTTATAGCAAATTCAACAGAAGTGATCGGAATCCATTTAAATAGTGCAACACCGATGCTTAAGTCATTCTAGCTCAAAAGTAAAAGTTTTCAATAGAAAAATTACAATTACAAACAGTTGATGTGGCACTTTTTCCTGCTAAATATATAATTACTAATTATAGCAGAATTATCTTGTCGAAATTTGCATGACTAACAGATGCCAGTTTCCCAAATCCAAATGTCGAGCATATATATATAAACTTTAATTTCATTTGTACACACACACATATATATATTAAAATGTACAAATACATATAGATACTCAGATATCAACACAGTATTTTGCACTGATTTTTACGACATATATATACATGTATCTTAAAATTAAATGTTGGTGTCATTTATTATCTGTTCTCGTTATGAAATGGTTGTCAATTTACGTGCACTAATTACTAAGTCTAGATTATGTTTACAAATTAAAAGTCGTTTTTTCTATGTTTTTTCATCGATTTGTCAGTGCTTAAGGAGGGATAGCCTTAATATATAGAAGGGGCTTCACCTGCGTTTATATATATATATATATATATATATATATATATATATACTAGTATGTGAACATACAAACCAAGTTAGTCTCGGAGATCGAAACGTTCATACAGACGGATATGACTAAATTAGCCGATGAAGAATATGTATAAGTTTTGTATGGTCACAGATTATCGTTTCTGCTGATTATATACATTAGCTTTATTTATCATTATCAATACCATTATTACCCATATTTATGGTCCAAGGTATAAGAAATACAAATATATTTAGATACATATTATTATTATTATTATTATTACAGCTATGCCATTTTCTCGGAAGTCTAACAGCTAAAACACTAAATAATGTAAATAAATACTTTTCTTGATTGAATTACAATTATTTACTAGCTTTTGCATAACATAGATTTATATAAATAAGAAGGACTAGGAACCAGTACAACATATTAGAAAAATGTTCGGAAAATGAAAAATGTTGCTATACATAATATACTACTTTACAATTTGAAACGACCTATTAGACTTACAATTTAGTATCTGAACATTTTATGCTTCGCAATTATATAAAAAAAATATATATTTATATATGCATATAGAATGGGAGTATATATAAGTGCTAACGTTTAATCAGTGAAACATAAAGTGATTGCTAATTGGAAATCATCAATAGACTGCCCAAAAACTAAATATTTTGTGTGCAAACTGATCGATCAAGCTCTCTATCTCTCTCATATATAAAACTAACCAAAGGTTGTGAATAAAAAAAAAAATGAAAAACCTGCCAACACATTTTGGAAATTGCTTAATAAATATTCAAAGCCAATATGGCTAGCCACCCTGTCCGCTGCTGCCCATTGATTGTTGTTGCTGCTGCTGCTGCTGCTTCTTTTTGTCGAATATGGATAGCTTCGACTTGACGGCTCCCTCGCAGACCATCATGCGCTGCTGTGCCGGTCGCTTGTCCAATTCAAAGCACAATGAATCTGGATTTAAATGCCGCTTAAAGTCGGAATAGCGATGCGCCTCATACGACAGATAGCTGGAGCCCAGAGCTGAGGCAGCCACAGCAGCGGCAACCGTTCCATTCCCATTACGATTATGCACCGATGGCGGCAATGAATCCTGCCGCTTACGCTCAAAATATTCTACGATTTTGGCTATTTGCGCGGATCGTGTACTCGGCAGAGCGGTGAATGAGCGATCATCCCAGAGCAATGAATCGGAGCTGATGTCATCCGAGCTATCCGTGTAGATGGACGAGGTGCGATTCTTGCAATACAGCAATTGATTTGTTGCAAATGGGCTGCGTTGCAACAGCGAATGGATTTCCGAATCGAGAGCGAGTCGATTGATTATGCCCGCCGTGGCCGACATCTGGGCATCGCCACCACTCACCAGCGAGTGGTGACATGTGTAACGCCTGTGATGTGTTCGCGGTGCAATAATTTCGGCATCCAACTCATCCATTGAATCCAGTGCCGTCGACGACGATGTGTTGCCAGCAATCGCCGCAGTTTCGTTATCAATCGTTAGCAAAACGGATGACGATGTCGCCGTAGGCGAATCATTATGATGATGATGATCGGCAACGGCAGCTGCGGCGACAATTGAACCCGGCGTTGCATAATAGCAGCAACGACACAAACTTGCCAGTTTATCGCTAAAAAGAATAAATAATGTTTAATAATGTTGTTTGTTGTAACGTTGCGTGTTTTACGCGTCCTCAAATTCGTTTACTTGAGTTTATTATTGCCAACAGTCTCGATCCTCAGCTGGGATTTTAATTGATCGTAACAGCAGCTGCTATTATTGGAGCCGACCACCAACGATCCGATGCCACATAATTGTCGCGTATAACTGTTGGTGTTCGCCGTGATCGCCGCATCCGATTCCTCATTAAAGCACGAATAGAAACCACTCTCAATGGAATCGCGCCGTGTCAGATTTCGTTTAGCAGGTAATAGTTCGCAGGACGATGTTTTCAGTTCATTCAATTCGGATGCGGCCGTCTCCTCCTCCTCATCTTCTTCCTCCGCTAACTGATGCGGTGTACTCTGCGAAACAACATCGATTTGGGAATGCGATGTGCTACTCTTCGATTCATCCTTAATAGTATGCTCAATGCAACTGGTCGCATCGACAATTAGAGACATCATCGTCAGCGCATTGCTGGAGGCGCTCGTTTTGAGTAGGGCGGAGGAAGTTGCTTCATGTTCGCTGCTGTTGCTATATTTTGTTATGGGTCCACTGCTGCCACGAAAAAGCGGATGGGTGTAGAGGGAATTTGCGCGATATTTGCGTGCAACGGGCATTGTGGAGGGACGGACAGCGCTGTCATCGCTGCTGGACTCGGCATCCGCACAATTGCCACCATCGAGATCCTCTCCCTCCGAATTGCAATAGTCACAGTCATCCATGTCGGGCAGTACTGATGTATCTATGGTTGCCGTTGCAGTTGCCGTTGTTGTTGCAGTTGCCGTTGTTGTTGCAATTGCCGTTGTTGTTGCAGTTGCCGTAGCAGTTGTTGTTACAGTTGCCGTTGCGTTGCTGCTTCGATGCGGCAATTTCAGTTCGATGGCGCTGTATTTGCGCGACAATTGCGGTGAGACGGGCAGACTCTTTGGTTCACTACAAGTAGTTGTTGTTCCTGCTGTTTTCGTCGTTTTTGGAGCACCTGCAGCCGCTTTGGAGTCGCTGTCCGTCATAGTCTTATTTTGAATGGCAACCAGCTCCTTGAAGAATGGCGCCGACATCTCAAAGCATGAGCTAAACAAATCACCGACACCTGCCGCATATGTCTTTGGATTGGCGCCCAATATTTTTTTAACGCCACGGAGCTGCGCCAGGGCCGTGAATGGATTTGGTTTGACACCATTGTGATCCTTGGCTAACGATGGCTTATATTGCGGATCCTTCAGGCACATCGTTTCACCAACTTTGCGCAGCGTTAGCACCGCTGATATCGGTGGCGGTAATGGTGGTGGCTCCGGCACCGTTGAAGCGGGCATTAGCAGCACCACCGCCGTTTGCGCATCACCATTTGGCAATTGTCGCGGCGGTGTCGGTGAATGGGTCGAGGATCGCTGTCGCTGCATTTGATGACAGCGCGCCTTATCGCTGGGCGACGTATGCAACGGAAAATGTATGATATTCTCACTGAGTGATCGTCGATGCAACAGTATCTCAGCCTCCAGTTTCTGTGTGGCACGACGCACACGTGATTGCAATATATGCTGATCGTATTCATTACTATTCTCGGCCAGCAGCCAGTTGGGTGTGCCGGGCAAAGCAGCCGATGCGGATTTACAACCAATACTCGGGGGAAAACGAAAACCATCCTCATCAACGTCGTGCAATCTGCCTTCGGGTGATGCACTCATTGTGGCAACAATCGGTGGCACAGTGTCTCTTGCCTTTTCGATGTCACTACTATTTGGCAGGGAATTGATCAATTCCAGCGAACTGAGCGGACTCGACGTGCACGTTGATTCCTGTTCGTATTTCTCGGACAGCAAAGTCAACTTTTTGGTTGCATCATGGAAAGTCGGTCGACTCTTGGGATCGTACTGTGAAGATGAAATTTGTTAAAATTTAATAAATAAATTGATTCAAGTCTGCAGGGTATTCAATAACTTACGAGACAACAGTAAAAGGCGAGCCTTAAAAACACAGGTGGCGTGTCCATTGGACAGAGTTCAACAAACGACAGATAATCTAAGCCGAATGAGGCGGTACGTGGCATCAGGTCTGGGTCGGCCTCGATGCGTGCGATAATCTCACACTGAATAATGCCGAATGAGAAAACGTCGCTGGTCTGATCGTACCATTGGCCTTTTAGACACTCGGGACTAACCCAGTACGGTGAGCCAACTGTCTCTAAACGTGATTTGCTGCTGCAATTAAACACAAAATACATTAATTTCAATGTGAACATCAAAACATTAAAACAATTAAAAATACAATCGATATATATATTGTGTGCATAAAACAAATGGTTAAAATAAATTAATTAATTATCAATCTTGTCTATATCATATTTTTAGACAAGCTTTCTTATTTTGGACAGCTGCAGATTAGAGACATGTGATTAGATATGAAAATGTACTTACGATTTCACTGGTATTTTAGCAGCCAAGCCAAAGTCACCGACAACAGCTTCGTATTGTTCATCAGCGAGATGACGAATAAGCACGTTCTATATTATATATATATTTTTTTTTGGGCACAAAACAGATGTTCACATTTTAGTTTAGCTATTTAAAGCGTAAGTTTGTGTTGCACTAACCTTGCTTGTTAAATCTCGATGAAAAATACCCGCTTCGTGAACATATGCCATTCCGCGCGCTATATCCAGCGCCAGTCTTATTTTCTTTGCAGCACTGAGAAACCGATCTTGGTTAGCCAGCAGCTGCTCCAGTGAGCCACCGTTAATGTACTCGGTCAGGGCATGCAGTTGTCCTTCTTGCACACAAACTCCCATAAAGCTATGAAAAAATACGTATAATTAATAAGTTATAAGTAAATAAATAATATATACATAAATATAAAAATTAGATTTATTATTTGCATCAGGTATGTCGATTCAAGGGTAAATTTCAATTGAAATTATATTTTTGCACATTTTTTTATTTTGTTATATTATTATTGCAGATTGATGTTAAATGAATAACTTAAATTTGTAAGTATGGAAATTACTGTTGCTTGAGTGAATGGTTAATGTTAAATTGGTTAATTGATTAACTGGTCTTACTAAGTGAATTCGTCTTTGGTCTTCTTTTATTAAGTAATTTTATATGTGCAATGTTGTTGATTAACAAGGTGTTCGCTTGAAATTAAATTAATTGTTTCCACGAATGAGGAGTTCAATGTTAAGGTCTCTACGCATAATTAATTAATTACTAAGTCTGATTATGGCGTTGAGTTTGTGTTGAACTTTGTTAATGTGGAATTGTGCTGACAAATTGCAAATGCCATAAGTACATATTGGTAGAAACATTGTGTACATGATTTTTGCCAGTTAAGGTTTTACATTGAGAGAACTTACCTCAATATATTAGGATGCGATAGTTTATTAAGCAACTGAACTTCCCTCAACATGTTAGGTCGATTAGCGCGCAGTTGGTTCATTTTCAGCACCATCACCTTGCCAGTTGTACGATGTGTGACCTATTTAAAGAGAGTAAATGAGATGAGATTATGATTAATGAGACATCCTTGAACTCGAATGACTATTCATATGAGTAGTTCTCTGCATCAACAGATGCGATAAAGATCATTTCGAATTACGAATAAACTGGATTAAGTGACTATTGTGTTAAGCTGTTTTGCTTTCGATTTACAGGCGCGAGAGTGAGATCATCACTCAACATTTTTAATTTCATTTTAAGACTATAAGGAAATATCTCTTAAGGCTGTATACAATTAAAAATATTACAAATTGTATAAAGATAAAAATACAACAAAAACAAAAATTAATAAATAAATAGTAAAAACTATAAGGAAGGCTTATTTATTGCAATAAGCCACTAACGGCCTAGGCAATAAAAACTTGAACTTTCATATGGCCGGACATTCACTATCCAGTTATGGAAGGTGTCCGCCTTGGACACAGCATGCGCAGCAATTAAGTCATCATTTTTTGTTCAGTATTTAAAAATGCATCAAATATACACTCCACCCCATTTAAATATGTTATGATATTTTTGTAATGACGAATCGAATAAATATGTTCTTATTTATGCTCTCCAAGGTTTCTACTTCTACTTGTACAAAAATAAAAAATAAAAATGAGCACACTGATAGCGTAAGTTATTTACTATAAGCCGCACACATGCCGCAATGAGTGTTATGTCAACATTTTGACAATGTGGTAGCTTAAATAATTTGGGTGCATGGTATTGTGGTGTTTTCACTTTCAGCTGGGAAATGCGATATGGCAATTGCGGAAGTCAAACAACAAGAAAGCGCCAATCGGCAGCAGCAAATATACAAAAAAAAAACTAAATAAATCCTTTTTCACCAAAACCAAGATGAAGCCGTGTAATGCAACAAACCAGTTGCCGGACGCTTGTCACAGACGTCCATTTGAAGCTCTGGCAACATCAGCAGCCACAGCAGCCAAAGCAGCAGCAGCAAGTAAAAAAAAAAAACCAGCCTGTTGTTGTTGTTGTAGTTTGTTACACGGACAATTTAGCTACAAGTTTCAAGTCCACTCATTCGGAGATATTCCCAAACTAGTTTTGATGAAACGGCATTGACCACGATTGACATCGATTGCATCGCCAGCGAAATTATTTGAACAATTCCCACATGCAATTTGGGCTTTACTGTTAACAAACACCATTTTTAATATGATTTTCAAAAGTTGCGTTTCGTTTTTCATGTTTGAACAACTTTTCAACGAAAATCGAACGAACGTTGAAAAAGATCGTCTGCTATATTCGATGATGCCCCGTTTTTTTGTTTCTTTCTTTTCGTTAACATTATTTTTGTTATGCTTTGTGCAATCACAAATCTGAACTCAAAAGAGGCATTTTTGCTTGCAACTCTTACAAGTTGGCAGCGCACAGCACAATGTCACCTGTTATAAATAAACGTGTTCCGTTACAGTTGGAAATACGTCAGCTAAAAAGCAATGCGTTTTCGCACATATTTAAATACTCCAATCTCTGCTGTGGCAGCAACTGCCGCGAGAATATAAGTAATTGTGGCAAACGGATAAAATTTGCCGTTCGTTTCGTTTTCGCAAAACAAAATCTACAATTGTGTCAGCGATATGCCGGCAATAAGTTGGCAACGAGTCAGACGGATTCTACACTGAAAACAATTAAGTAGAAAGTATTGCTGAGTGATGGAGATAAATATGAGGTTTCTGGTGTTTGGTCGATTAAGGGCAAGCATTTAAACGACGTTTAATAAATATATTTACCAAATTCGGAAATTATATTTCTTTTCTTTTTGGGGCAATTTTAATTTTAGGGTAATTTTATAAATTCTAATTGTTTTTTTTTCTTCTTTCTTTTTTGAAGCTACTGTGTCAGAAATACTAAAATTTCGAATTTAATTGTGTTTTCTTTTTTAAATGGCAAAATTTCAGCCCTCAAATATCATTTTAAATAAGCATTCAAAGTATTATTTTATGTTTCTTTATCATTTTATGTAGAATTTAACCATTTACTTAAGCAGCAAAACTAGATCAATAATAATTTTTTAAATATGCTCTTTTAGGTGAAGTGTTTTTAGAATATATTTATGAATATTTTGAATCCCAATATTTTTAGTCTTCAGGTGTAGATTTTCTTTTTGATTTTGAGTTTTGTTGTCGGGGTTTTTTTTTGTTGTGCCTTTCAATAAAATATTGTCCAACTAATCAATCAAAAGCAGAAGAGATTGTTGAACAGGAAAATCAACTGGATTGAGAAGACAAGCAAACGGCACTAAAATAGTTTGTTGGGAAGCTGCAGCTTGTTGCAAACAAGGTTGTTTTTTGAGAAGTTTACCCAATTAATAATAAATTCCATTCCATATTTATATTGATATTGAGCAGGCAGTTGTGAAGCATATAGGAGTTTATAGGGGGGCAATACCACGCCTCCCCTTCACCATTATTCTAGGTATTATCAAGACCAGTTTTTAGACAAAGAGGGTTGGCGAGTGTCGCCACTGTTAACAATCCAACAAGCTCGCTGTTCTGACCAGGTAAATTGAGGTCGTCGCCATTAGCAAAACAAACTGTTAGCCAGTCGTCGGCCGACTGGAATGGAATCTGGCCTAGTTTGCTTTCTTTCACGCCGCCTGCCAAGCGCGTCTGGTCTGGTCTGTCTGTCTCAGTATTTATATCTAGACTTTTTCCAAGCTCGCTTCACGTTCTTTTTGGACATGCTTCTCTTTTCTGTTGTGCAACTCATCTGCGGCGTCCAAGCCGGCTAAACGGTTATTTTAACTATTTTTTATTATTTTTTTTTTATGGCTGCACATTTTAACATTTATAACAAGTACATTTAACAAGTCGTGCAAAACACGACATTCATAAGGCGACTTGCTACACTCAAGTTCAATTGATTAATCATATTGTGATCGGCGCAAGTCGTGCATCGATTGGAGTGTCCAAGACGCTCATGTGATGCAAGGTGTCAACGTGTACTTGGATCTTTCCCAGAGCGCAGCTACACTCAGAAAAATAAAGTACAAAGTTTTAAATATACATATTTAAACGATGTCACCAAACAACTGAAAGGAAAAATGTTTTAAAATTGAACAGGTTTTTAAATTTTTCAAAAATCTATTTCTTAATCATGGAAAATATTTTGGAAAAAATCCTCTGAAATTCGGAAAGTAGGAATGAAATTTGCTTTCTCCACTGTTAGAGTTCAGCTGCTGTCCGTCTTAATAGACTATTAAGAGAGTGTTTAAGAAAGATCCTGGAAATTGGACATAATTATTTTTAAATTTAAGAAAAGAGAAAACCGGTTCTTTTTTATTAAGACACAATTCTCCGTTATAATGGTGGAAATATACTTTCTGAATACCAAACTGATTAAGGCTTGGCGCAAAAAGTATGGCGATTTTTTTTCTTTTGATAACCGATCTTAATACTTGCTTGAACCATAAAACTATTGTAATTTGATAATGGGCAACTGGCCAAGACAGGTGAACTCAAAAGGCGAACTAATAATGAATTTATAAACGACATAGCCATGGATAATTAACACTTGTGGTGACATTGTTGAATGACTGTGCAATCTTATCAGAATCGCCAAAAACAATTCAACCATAATCGCTTAAGGCTTCAATAAAACAAATAATGTGTATGTACACACATATTTTTTTTTTAATTTTTCTATCGCAAATAATTTGGTAATTTACTGCCCATAATCAGTCCAGCAAATAATCAAACAAATAAAAGAAAAAGGAACGTTTTTTGTGTGTGTTTCGTAGGCGTAATCACATTTAATTATACATGTGACAGCAAATAGTTTAATAATACACATAACGTTAATTATACTGACTTAAAGTATTTCCATTTGTGTCGAACAGTTTGGTTGCAAGACTTTATACAACCATTTATTGCATTGATTGCATATAACTAATCGTTTTGAATATGCTTTTGTTGTTGTTGCTGTTGCATTTTATGTGATTTTAATTGTTAACGGAAAAGCCAAAGAGTTATGTAAATGTTTGGGTTCGTCTGTATTGGTTTACTTTTGATCAATACACATGTTTAAACACCTCTTTCGTGTGTTGAGCAAGCAGACGGACACAAAGAGAAAGAGAGAGAGAGAGAGAGAGAGGGGGATACGTATACCCATCAACTGATATGTATATATATATATATACACATATATATACCACATCTTCAATCATCTTTACGGGCGGGCAGGCAGGCAGGCAACAGCACTGAGTGCAACTAATAATAAACTAGTTTGCTGCAAAATGGACTGAGGCTTGTTTACAACTGATGGGCTTTTTACCTAGAAGCTTAATTGAGTTTGCATTTAACATGTTATCTCTCTCTCGCCTTTTGTTTTTCTATGGGCGCCTTTTTACGATTATGCAACACACCGCACACAACACACAGCGTAAAAATCAATTAGTTTTTGCCCGTCTTTTTGTTTTTTAATGTATATCAATACTAAGCAAAACACAAGCTAAACGAAGACTGCCTGCAGTGTTAGATAGTCAACACAATGTTTATTTCTCGGAGTGAAGAAGTGCTATGATATATAAAATGTATAAGATTTCGTAGAGCAAGCACAGATAAAGTTCATTTCATTTCAACCATAAATTGATTGGTTCTCTTAATAACGATAAGAATCGGTTACCGATCAAAACCACAATTTCAAATATATAACTATAAATCTAGTATATAAGATTTAGTATGAAATGCTCAGGTAAAATTGATTTCATTTCATTCATTATTGATAAGAATCGATTACTAATAGCAGCGAAATCAACGATCAATGATTTATCACAGCACAGCTAGAAACAGTCACCGGATCTTAATCCCATTGAGCATATGTGGAATATGCTGGAAATGGAAATAAGCAAGAGAAAACACATGATTTGGTCAAGAGGAATCGTTAGAAACAGCCTTGTTCGGTAAATGGGTAAATATCAGTGCTAAAGACTTCAGTAAATTGGTTAAGGATATGCGCCCACATTTGGAA